CGAATTGACAAACACGGTGAAAATATACAGAAAATTGTTTTCATCATATTAATACATGCACCCATTAGATTCAATAATTACAAACATCAACCAAAATATTAATCACTGGACGAAATATCAACCAGCATAATGAAAATTAATGAAATTTCTAAATTGCATCATTTTCGTTACATTGAATTTTACAACGTCAAACGCTTACGTCACATGTTCCAAATATTTCAACAACTAGAGAAAGTTGCTTCTTAATTGAAAGTTTTATAACCATTGTCGTGCAATTTTGCTGAGACTCTCCTTATTTGAAGTTTTTGGGGGTTGTTTTTTGAGTTCATTCAGTATCTGTAATCTAGTATTGTAGACCCTGTTCTTAAGAATCCCTGCAGAAAAGGCCCAATTATTGAGACCTGGCTAATGCAGGGGTCAAACTCCTCTTCCTCTGGGGTGTTGCATTATTGAGAATTTGAACGTTGATAACTTGATATCATATTTCAAAGTCCAAATATACACTGTAAATGCTGACGTTTTCAAAAATATCAATCAGACACTTTCTATGGAGTTTGAACTATTTAGAGTCTCTACTTCAACAAGGAAATCCCCAGTTCTTAATTTAAGTCCATAGTTTTCTGGAATTTTGCATCATTTCTCACATATTGCTTTTATACTTTTAAAACTTTGTTACCAGACTTCTGATAAGCATCCTAGAAAAGTTTTTTTTTTCTTTTGGAATATCTTCCTTCATCAACTTCTGAATAAATTTTGGCAATCTGTATTGATAAAATATCTTTACAATTCAGCAACATATTGACAAAGTATACCCATTTTCGAAAAATATCGAAATTATGACATCGGAGTCTCTGTCAAAATTAAATATTATAATACAATAATATCCTTGAGTTTTTCACATAGAAGAAAAATTTAGGATTTGATTTTTAAAATGATATATAACTTGCATTAAAAATTTGATATTAATACAAGAAAGATATTGAATTGTAAAAATGAAACACCCTGTATGATACTCGTAAAAAATCTAAGGCACAAAATAGGACAGTAAATCTCATGTAAAAAATATCTCATTACATGTATACAAAGATAAATGTGCCATTTAAGTTCCTCCTGATTTTGATATGATGTGATATGATATGATATGATATGATACGGCCCTCGATTTTTATGCCACCGTATCGAAGATTCGGGGACATATAGTTTTTGCCCTGTCCGTCCGTCTGTCTAGCTGTCTGTTTGTATGTCTGTTTGTCCGCAAAAACTTTAACATTGCTCATAACTTTTGATTGGTTGGAACTATGGCTTTCATATTTCACATGTGTATTCCTTGTGACAAGACCTTTTTTTGGGTACCATCATATCTGATCTTTTGACTTTGACCTTAGAGTACTAGTTTGACCCAGTTTTGCAAAATGTCACCGAACTTTAACCTTGGCCATAACTTTCGAACAATTGGTGCTAGGACTTTCTTACTTCACATGTGTAATCCTTGTGACATGACCTACCTTTGGATACCAACATGCAGTTTGGAGTTTGACCTACTATTGGAAAACTTTAACCTTGGTCATAACTTTTCGACGGTTGGTGTTAGGGCTTTCATTTTTTCTTCACATATGTAATCCTTGTGAAAGACTTTCCTTTCCATCAACTTTGACCCTTTGACTTTGACCTAGGAGTTTGACCTACTTTTGAAATACTGTAACCTTGGACATAAGTTTTGAATGGTTGGTGCTAGGGCTTTCATATTTCACATGTCATGTGTATTTCTTGTGAGAAGACCTTTCCGTGGGCACCATTAATTTTAAACATTTGACTTTGACCTTGATGTTTGACTTACTGTTGAAAAACTTTAACCTTTTCCATATCTATTATATGATTGCTGTTGGGCTTTCATATTTCACAGGTATATTCCTCGGGACAAGACCTTACTTTGGGTACTATCATTTTTGATTTGCATCTGAGAGAGTTTAACCTTTGCTATAAATTGCTATAAGGGGGCATCAGTGTTTCACAAACACATCTCGTTTTTTAGCTCTACTGCTCAGAGACCAGAAGAGCTTATGCGATAGTAAGGTGTCCGTCGTCAGTCCGTCTGTCTGTCTGTAAACAATTTTTCAAAATTCAACTCCTCCTACAGTTTTGTTCCGATTTCAATATAACTTGGCACACAAGTTGACTGCACTATCAAACATAATTTAGTGCATCGGTTTTTCGATTTCGATGAACGGTGTTGCCATGGTTACTTAAAATAGAAATTTCTGTGACATTCATTTAAAACGCTACTCCTCCAACAGTTTTGTTCCGATTTCAATATAACTTGGCACACAGGTAGACTGCACTATCAAACATAATTTAGTGCATCGGTTTTTCGATTTCGATGAACGGTGTTGCCATGGTTACTAAAAATAGAAATTTCTGAAATTCCTTTAAAACGCTACTCCTCCTACAGTTTTGGTCTGATTACAATATAACTTGGCACACAAGTAGAATACACTGTGATACATAATTTAGTGCATCGGTTTTTGATTTCAATGAACGGTGTTGTCATGGTTACTAAAAATAGAAATTTCTGTGAAATTCCTTAAAAACACTTCTCCTCCTACAGTTTTGGTCTGATTTTAATATAACTTGGCATACAAGTAGACTACACACACTAAGATACATAATTTAGTGCATCAGTTTGTGATTTCGATCAACGGTGTTACCATGGTTACTAAAAATAGAAATTTCTATGAAATTACTTTAAAACGCTACTCCTGCTACAGATTTAGTCTGCTTTTAATATACGAGAGGTGATCAAAAAGTTCGCGAACTAATTGAATTACTTCTTTAAAAGAAATAAAATGAAGTTTCAGTGTTTATTATTTTTTAAAATAGTCCTCTCCGATTTTAATGCACATCTGCCATTGTTCTGCCCATGCGCGAATCACGTGATCCAGGCAGTCACGTGACATGCTCCGAAGCAGTCTGTTCAGAGAAGCTAAAAGATTTTTCCGAGTCTTATATTTCTTACCATGCAAGTTATTTTTTATAACAAGAACACACCATCTGTCAGAAATGGCCAAGTCTCGGCAATAGGATGGATGGATAAGGATATCCCTTCCCACAATTAGTATGGTGACCCATCACAACCCGAGTCCTCTGTCTTGGGAGAGTCGTTTATCCAATGTGGATAAAATATGGACGCCTTCTTTTTATCATATCTCATACGTTTAAAGCCTTAAGTAAATGATATTTTAGAGAATAATTATATTATTGTTAAGATATACAACCACTTTTATAATTGTTACTTGACGATGTTTCATAACAAATTGCTCAACTAAGGACACATCTTTTCCCCGGCTTGCTTTTGCTGGGCAACAGAACAAACATCATTTTTAACCGTCTCCCTATCTTTACTTAAACAATCAATCCAATTAATGATTGAACTTCTGGTAAGTCTTTTATCTTCATAAACCTTGTACAAATTATCATATTCTACTGCAAAGGAATTTCCAAGATATACGTTAAACTTTGCCGTCGTTTGTTGGTCGAGTACGACTGAGTTAACCATTTATTGTCACAAGTGACCTACATATTGAGTCATTTTCACATTGTGACGTCACAAACAAGGGACAAAACATTATTTAACATATTTTATTTATAGAACATGTGTATGACTATATGTGTGCCAAATTTCATTCTGATCTGAATTGTGGTTTTGTAAATATAGAGATAGTTCGCAAACTTTTTGATCACCCCTCGTAATTTGGCATCCAAGAAGACTATACTGAGATACATAATTTAATGCATCGGTTTTTTTGATTTCGATGAACAGTGTTGCCTTGGTTACTAAAAAAAAAGAAATTTCTGTGAAATCCCTTTAAAACGTTACTCCTCCTACGGTTTTGGTCTGATTTCAATCTAATTTGGCACACAATTAGAATACACTACAATGCATAATAATTATGCATTTCGGTTTTTGATGTGGTTACCAAAAAATAGAAATTTCAGTGAAATACTTTCAAAACGCTATATCTCTTCCTACAGTTTTCGTTTGATTTCAATATAACTTGGCACAGAAGTAGACTACATTGGGATACATAATTCTATTTATTAATGCATGTTGCAAATCCAAGTGCTACTTTGTTATACGTACATACCAGTAGAGCTACAGTCTCATCAGAGACTTCTGGTTTTTTTTTAAGGAAACATCAATTTGATTTTATTTACTGATTTTTTGTAGAATTTTTAAAGTTAAATGTGTTGCACCGAGATCAAAGCAATTCTGTCGACCCACTGTTTTAAAATAATACATTAATTTAAATTAAACTATAGATTTAAGTATATTTTTGACATGTAACATCTTCCTACCCATCTGTGGTTCGTAAACTATGCAAATGCATATGATTCCTGTAGATAGTCAAATAAGCCTTTCTTCTTTAAGGACATACGCAACATAGTTTTAAACATTTTTTTCTTATTATCTGTATAATTGAAGAGGTCCATTAAATGAAGGACCTTTGTGTGATTTGTGATGCCTAATGATCGTGTACACCACTAAAAAAAACAAAAAACAAATTTGTTTCGAGAAAATACCAACTTAAACTGTATATGTATGGTAATTCTTCTTTGAAAAAAGAAAGGATTTAATAATTTGATATTTATTAAAACTCCTGATAACGTATACTGATTTTTTAACATATTCTGACGGCACTATAATTAATAAAAATTCAGAAAATCTTGAAAAATCACATGTATCAATACTAAGAATATATAGTTACGTCCCTGATTTTAAAAGCTATATATAGCACAGAAAGAAAAGAATCCTTCCATTAAAATGCACATTATCAATTAATAATAAGGGGGCTTGCTTGTAGCTTTTTTAAACACATATTTTAATAGATGTGCAATTTATAAGCATTTAACTTTTCTATTAATTGTACGAGTTATCAAATGATATGGGCTAATAAGAACATTCTATGTACAAGTTATCCAAACGAAAATAAAAACATACCGTCCCGAATTTGCAATATTGAATATGGAAGACGACGATGAAACGTTCATTTCCATTGGAACTCCTTTAGAGTTCATGAATGAAGGTGAATGAAAGGCAAATGAAAGACTAAAATAAGCAATATTAATATTCTAACATTATTATCTTCATAAGTCTTGGATTATAATTTTCAAAACTGTAAACTTATCTGCAGATTATCTTATCACCTCTTCAGGGGCTTGTCGCGATCAATTTGTCTTCTGTCTCTTTGACCACCCCTTCACTATAAGATACAGTATTTAATAGTTTAGGATGACCAAAAAGGAAGAAAACAAAATTGATTGTAACAAGCCCCTGTGATCAGCAAATAGCCCAATTGTAATAATAACCATGATAACGCAACGCGAGAATAAAAGAAAGTATTTATTCTATATACTAAAGCAACAGACAGGTTGTATCGAAATGAAATGACTAAAACTCATCTCGTTTAGCAATACAACTTCTGCTGAAAGTATTTGTTCCTGTTTAACTTTTGAAGATGAGTATGATACATGTACTAGGAATATGTACATGTAGAGTATTATTATAATTTGACATATATAGGAATTGTCCAGTATTTCAGTCTGAGTTCATCTTTATTTCATCCCTCAGACCAAGTAACAAAATGATCAGTGGTATAAGTATTGTGCTGGTGTATCTGTCATCAGTAAGGGAGCTCAGAGGGTTATAAACTCCTGTGGCTTTCTTAAAAAATAAGATATGAAATATTGAAATTAATTTTTTTTGTCAAAAAGTGCCATAAATTGAATAATAATCCAAGCTTTTGTCTTGAGTGCAGTGCAAAAAATTCCAAATTTATTTACCTTTGATGGAGATATGCATTCAAAGCTTTATTTTTGTATTCAATTGAAATCAATGAATAAATAAAATTGTATTTCATATTACACATTGTCATAATTAATGTAATATTGTACAATATAGCAATCTTCTGCCATGAAATGAATAGAAAAATGAATCTTTCAGATGAACCCATACAGAAGCCACAAAAGGAACTTCAGGCTGTGGGAGTGGGCACCAAAGCTAGACCTCGCTTCCACGGGGCCTTTACTGGAGGATTCTCTGCTGGGTACTTCAACACGGTCGGCTCCAAAGATGGTAAAGTATCATGTCAGCATGCTGCATTTTGATGCTGTCTTGTAAACTATTAAAAACTCTTGAATTGTTAAATGGGACACAATGTTTAAGGCATTTTATTTTTAAGTCACATGCATATTACAGGTTGACATTTGTCAAACCTCAGGTTTATTTTGGTAGGATTTACACCATCCAGTTTCACCTCCTCTAAGGATAAAAAGAAAGAATTTACCACACAGAGACCCGAGGACTTCATGGATGATGAAGTTAGCAAATCTCTATTTCTTCAACAAAAAAAGGAAAGAAATTGATTTTATTAATGGCATCATCTGTGTGACTATGGTTTCTGATCTGTTTTTCTCTTAATATTGAATACGAAAACCCTTGGCCAGTCATGATATAATGATGCAGGTCTTAGTTTAAGACTATTCTATATGATGATATTATGCATTGCAGGATTAAACTTGATGATAACTAATTTGCTTGATCAGAGGGATGTTATTGAGTTAATTTTTAAAATTACACTTTGTTGATTGATTCAAGGACTTCACAGAGCATGGAATTGCTCCAAAGAAATTTCAAACATCAGAAACATTTTTGTCGGAGGACAGGAAGCGGAGGCGAGATTTGGCCATTAAATCTGCCACCGCTGACACATTGTTTGGATCCACCACTGCCCTGGCTGACCTTATTGTCCCAGAAAAGTTTGTATCATTGTAAAACTTACACATAGTCTTTGTATAAACTGATAAAAAAATATAATCCAGCTGTGTATTAAACAAAATATTATGTTGAGTTCATATATAAAGCTGTCATGTGTAAAGTAAGTACACATATTTATGTCACATAAAGATCCAACTTAACCAAAATAAACTGAAATTATACTCTATCAGTTACAAAATGCTAAATAAAGTAGATGCCACCCTTTTGAGTTAATTTCCTTGCAATTGGAAGATGATGATTCATGCATTTACAAAATGTAGTGTTACTCTGTTGACATTCACATGCTGTTTAATGACAGGTTGACCATTGGAGTGAAGCTCTTACATAAGATGGGCTGGAAAGAGGGACAAGGAATGGGCCCACGTTACGAAAGGAAGAAAAAGTCGTCAAATATCTCAAAGGGTATTAAGAATTGAAGTCTTGACACACATCTATTATCAATTTTGTATTACACTTGATGATATATCAGATTATATACACCTTATGTACCTTAATTGCTGGTTTAATTTTTTTGAATTTTGTAAATTCTAATTATTATCATGATAGATTCTCAAAGAAAGGTATATGGCTGCTTTCTACCTGAAGAAGACAGTGAGGTGAGGTAGTTAAAAGTGAAATCAAGCTTCTTTAAAATAAATGTTGAAAAATACTACAAATTTCACATGTAGAATACTTTATAAGGGATTAATTTCAGGTGTTGAAATTTTCATGTTTTTCTCTCTTCTGATACAATTGCGGTTGTATGAATTTGTGGAATTTGTATAAAATAGAACTTACCTCCTTTTGTTTGCATTATTAAATTGTTTAGGAAGAATGGTAACTCTGTATTTAATGTTTTACTCACAATTACACAGTCATCATAATTTTTACTTAAGGAGTTTAAGCAAAGTGTTCAAACCATGCTTTACAAGTTGAAGTATGGAAAAATTACTTTCATACCCCCTACAATCTGCAGCGATGTTCAGAGGATGAGGAGGTTTGCACATTTTCTGCTGCCAATTAAATGAATCATGGACAAAATTATTAAACATTATGTTGTTTAAGTTTATAATGTTAGTAAATGAAATTATTTGAATTGAGTTATACATGTATGTACAATTGTTATGTCTATAAAAACAAATACCTATCAGTGCCCAAAGTTATGTTTGTCATCCTTCAAAGAAATGGATCATAGCGTCACTGTTAAATGAAAAATACAGGTCATTATCTGAGGAAAATGTGGCGATTTAAATACAGTGGATCCTCGTTAATCTGGATGCCAATTATCCAGATGCTTCACCTTCCGGACAAACATTTTGGGGAACAGAATATTTTTATCTATCAATTTTATAAGGTCTGTCTCGGTAATCAAGACTCCTCATTAACCTGGACGATTTGTTGTGGAACACAAGCATCAGGATTAACAAGACTTCACTGTAATTAAATGCCAACTACTACTTGTAATTTACTGATCTTGAATGACTAGACATATCTTCTAGTGGTCTGGACTCACTTTTTGAGTGAACATAATTTTATTGAAAACTTATTCATTGTTTCTGGAATTCACAAATGAAGTTACACTTTGAATATTTAAACTGCAAGTTATTTTCCCCCTATACAGTAACAGTTTAAGTGTCATAAGAATATGCATGATTAATATTTCATCAATTAAATTATGGGTGGGTGAAAAACAGCCTAAAAATATATTACAAATTATGATAAGTAACAAAAAATTTGCAAGTAAACTTTAACTTTTATGATGAATTATTTGATTATGATTGTGTTCGTTGGACTCGACAGGTTATAGCACATGTGGTTTTGAAGTAAAAGCTGTTGATAATTAAGATTATCTTACCATTTTTCAGGAGTCAAGTGATGAAGTCCCAGAAAATGTGACCTTTGCCCCTCGTGATGTTAACCCAATTAAGATACAGGCCAAGGATAATGTTCATGGTATTGGATACCGTGGCCTTGACCCCAGAAAGGCTCTTCCTGGGAGCCATGTTAACCTGTTTTCAGCACCAGCCATTACAAAGACTGGAAAAAGAGGCATCCGAGGAACAGTATGTATAATGTAGTATTGCTAAAGGGATTAAATCTGTAGCATTCTATGTGAAGTTGGGTTTTATTATTTAAGTTTTTTTTATGTTCTGTAGATGAAAAAAAAAAAAAAAAATCAGTGTACCAGCAAATATAATATTTCTATTTAGAAAAAAATTACGACTGAATACAGGCTATTACCTCTAGTAAATTTGGTCACATCAGGGCTCGGCATTAACGCTTGTCCGGTACCAGTGAAAAAAAAATACGGACAAGTGAATATTGCTGGGCGCTTGTCCGATTGGACAAGTGCATTTAAATGTAAAGAAGTCTCAAAATAATAAAAAAGAACGACTGTCGAACGTTTACGGTACTGTAGTTCAAAGACGGAAGCAGTACGTACCTAATACCGAACTTCGATCCCGATATGGGTCGCTATATAGTTCACACTCGATTGGGATCGAAGTTCACTAATTGCATACTACTGCAAAGGCATGGAATTTACGAAGTTTGGATTCTGTTTGATGTTGACAGTCCATTTATGTTGTTGTTAGGACAGAAAGTCTAGATAAAATTTTGTGTTATGTGTTTGTTGTATTTATCAATAAGATCATGAATCAATCAAGCACATGCAATGGAATTCATTTTAGTTTTCAAGTTTACAGTATTGGATCTTTATTGAAAATTTTTCGGACAAGTAAAGTTGAAGTTCGGACAAGTGAATGTCTTGGTCACTTGTCCGAATGGACAAGTAGGAAATAAAGTTAATGTCTAGCCCTGCACATTTTCTTGAAATTCCAAAGAATTTCCTTATTTCTGTTATGTAACTACATGTAGAAAAATTCCTCTCTGCTCAAAAGTTAAAGAGGTAACGTTATGTTTGAAAATCACCGTTGGATGTATTAAGGTATATACATATACACTTTAAAGAGTGAGGTAACTCATTGTGTGAAAACCACCAATACATGTATTAATTGAAACACAGCTGTACACTTTCAGACATTGCAACACAAGTGAATATTTGTAATTGTCACTGTGAATTTTTTTGGTGACATCTTCTAGATTAAGAGTAACATTTCTGGCATATTTTCTGAAGAAAACTCACAGTTCTGTGATGTAATACTTGGAGATGTTAACATTATCAGGGGTAGAAACTCCCTAAAAATACAACTCACAAATAATTGCAAGTTCCAATAAAGTGAACTCGCAATTTCACAAGACTACTTGCAATTTTAAAATAAAAGCTTTTTTAAATTAAAATTAAATACATGTAACTTAAGGATAAAGTAACTACATGTACTGTATATACTTGGCTATAAGTCGGTCCACCTATAAGTCGGTTGTATTTTTTGAGGTTATTTTGGAGGAATTTGCCATTGACCTGCTTATAAGTCGGTACAACTTTTTGCCAGAATCAGTTGACAATTTCAAATCAATGGTGTAATGTTTTAACCTGGTTTTGATCAATATTTTTAGAAATGACGCTGATATTTAATTTTAAATCATAAGAAAAATATATAATACACACTTAAAGATAAAAATAAAATTATTAAAATATGTAAATACTTGTGTTTATGTGTAATCTTAGAATACATAAATGATAAAATATATCCAGACATTGTTCAGTGAAAATCATTGGAAATGTTTATAAAATACTACATTTCGCTCTCCAGAAAAATACAAATCTTTTTATGACTCGCCTATAAGTCAGACATAGAGTTTTGGACCAAATTTTAACTCCCAAAAAACCGACTTATAAGCGAGTATATACGGTACTGTTAAATAAACAAAATACAACTGCAGTCTCACTGTGTTTTGTTTATATTATATTGAATTGAATCAAAAGATTTTGTTCTGTAAAATTTATACAAATTATATAATTTTGGGCCACTTTCAATGCATTTTTTTCCTCCAGTTTTTCTTGATCTACTCTTAATTTTTCTTGATTTAAGTATAACAAATTTAGTAAAAAAAAATCAACTTGCAAGTTTTTGCGAGTTACTATATTTTCAACTTGCAATTTTGATATTCTAACTCACATTTTGTGAGTAATATATAGTGAATTTCGAACACTGATTATGATGATGAAGTTTTTTTTTCTCGTCAGGCATTTGGAGTGGGGGCCCTGGAGGAAGAGGATGAGGATATTTATGGACAGGATCATCTCTCTAACTATGACATGACCATGGACATTGAAGGCGATGATCACATGGGGTGGACTGCACCAGGGAAGGGCAAAAAACATGGTAAATGTCTCATTACAGTTTGTTAAACAATGTAAACATGTATGAAATTATTACCACTAGTTGAATCTCCAAAACTTTGTTCAGAAGGACAAAATTTTAATTCTTTGCATGAGGGATAAAAAGACCAGCAATTATACAAACAGTAAACCTAGATAAAGGGGAGATTTTGAGAAATATGAAATGAATGTGCTATTTTATTTTAAAGAAATTTATGAAGTAGTTTAGTTGTAATATGAATTTTTTTTAATTTTTATTACTGTCAGACATTAATTAATTTATAGATGTTCCTCTTGGATATGTTGGAAATTTACTTGAGGGATTCACTCTGTCTGGGAAGAAACTGCCTCCAAGAAAGATATTCCCTCCTCCACAAATTCCTAGAGAATTCAGGCCTGTCCATACTTTTATAAATGAGATTGATAACCAGGATACTAGTAATAAAACAGAGCAAGATGCGATTTCAAGGGGGATAACTCTCGGAGAAACGCCTGTGTTTGGTAAATATACTTTAAGATATTTAAGTAATATTACTTGAAACATTCTAATACTACTTTTTTGTGTCCTCTATTTCATCATTTTATTCAGTACTAATCTTGCTCCTTGTTTGCTTTTCATTCTTCCAATATTCACCATTCATTTGCTAACATTCACTCTGGACTTTCGTGTTGCAAAAGAGCATTTCAGGAGCCTCCTCAAAATTTGAATTCTGCAAAAGCATTTAATGATTTACAATTCCTTGACTTAAGAAAAACACCCAAGAAAAGAAACAATCAATTTCTTCTATGATTGTTTTGCAGAATCTGTGTTTGATCTGATTCCACAAAAAGATAAGGAAAGACTGAAAACGGTAAAGTCCAGGACGGATCATACGTGTAACAATGTCCAGACTCCCAGTATCACAGGGAATGATTCCTCCACTACAGATAGCCAGAGTGGTTATTCTAAGCTCTCCTCCAGCACCAGTGTTGTAGATGGCAAGGAAGGGACACATCAGTCTGTCCCCTCTACTTCTGACTCCAGAAAATCCCCCATGTCTGTTAACCTCCAGACATTTCCGGCAGGAAGAGGGGCTGTTTTTAGTCCGTTCATAAAGGATCCTGACAAACAGAGAAGATATGACACGTACATCAGGCTCGTCAAAGAGGGCAATCCAGGTTTGATGTTACATGTAAAAGTCCACAGTGAAAAATACCACATGTATATGTATTTGTATAACCATCTCTTTCAATTTGTAAATTAAACATGTTACAAAGAATTTATCTACAAACAGAACCTAAGGAAAAAAAAAAGACATATAAATTTGATTGGTAGATGCATATGAGGAAGTAGCAGAGGGTCTCATGACAGAGTGGGAGAGGGAGAGAGAGAAGGAGGAGTTTGACAAGGCATCTAAATTCTACAAACCAATGGCCGGCATGATGGCGTCACGCTTCACCAGAGCCAAGTACCATGACGATGATGATAAAGTGGAGATGCCAGCTCAGGAGCAGGTACAGAGGCATGTTGTTGACAAGATACACATGATACATGCGTGACTAAATGATTAAATATAATACATAAATAAATCCTTCATACTCTCTATTCTACTCATTATATAAATGATCATGATTGTTATGTCCTATGAATGATTCTTCAAAGACAATGGTTAAAAATAGAATTGATAAGCTTTTGGTATATGCGATTTTCTGAGTTTGAAGCTTGGACAGGTACTCAAAGTAATTATGCAAAATGAAATCCTTTAAATTATGGAAATATACTGGATGAAATGATAAAAGATTTATTAAAAAATGTACTAAGAACTTTTTTCTTTTTAAGGTCTTCCGTTTTCACGGAAGACCTTATAGTGATTCTACTGTTTCTTCTTCTTCTTCTTCTTCTTATTATTTTTTTGACCAAATTTTGTGCAGGCGTTTTCTCGAAAACTATTCAGTGGTTTTACGTGAAACTTTCAGGAAAAATTAGTCATTGTATGAAGTTTGTTCATCACAAGGAAAATTTGGAAAATTCCATTCTGGTTCCAAGTTATGGACAATTTCCTGATTTTTAAATGGAATGTTGTCCGTGAATGTTCTCAAGAATGGCTAAAGATATGAACTGGAGACTTATTGGAGAGCATAGAATGTGACTTCTAAATTTGTGGAATCGCCTTTTCGTTCGTCGTCGGCACTTCCGGTCGCTTACGGAAGTGATCAAAGAAATCGTAAAATTTCAACTTTCCTTTTTTGAATTAATTCCTATATCACATTATTGCATTTTGTGTAGTTTCGAAATATGTTGGTCCCACCGGAAACAAAAACGTCAACTTCCGGTTATAAGAGAAAAAGTACATAATTTGAGTATTTTTCTTTCGCATTAATATCTTTTGTAGATAAAGTATTTGAAATGAATTTTAAATATGTTATTCAGACTGCAAATGTCTAGAGTAACATCAAATATCTTTGTAAAAATCACTTCCGGTGGCTTGTTTTTTTTTGTCCTCAAAATGAGAAGTTGTCTGAGCAAGATCTCGGAAACGGTAAGGGATTAAGACACCAAACTTATATGAGCAACAAACCTTAAGATGTAGGCAAAACCATTTGTGTTCAGAGCGTCAGCCGTCACTTCCGGTCGTCACAAGAAGTGATAAAAAAATCGAAAATTTCAACTTTTCTTTTTTTAATTAAAAATTACATTCACTTTATTGCATCTTTTTCGCAGATTCCGAAGATGTTGGTCCTACTGGAAAAAAAACGACAACTTCCGGTTATAAGAGAAAAACTAAATAATTTGAGTATTTTACTTTCCAATAAATTTTCTTTATAGATAAAGTATTTGAATTGAATTTTAAATATGTTATTCACACTGCAAATGTTTAAAGTAACCTCAATTATCTTTCAAAAATTCACTTCCGATTGCGTGTTTTTCTGTCCTCAAACTGAGAAATTGTCTGAGCGAGATCTCAAAAACAGGTAAAAGATTAAAACCCCAAATTTTTATGAGTAACAGACCTTGAAGAGTAGGCAAAACCATTTTGGTTAAATGCGTCAGTCGTAACTTCCGGTCGTCACAGGGAGTGAACAAAGAAATAAAAAAAAGGTAACTTTTCTTTTTTAAATTAAAGTTTGCATCACTTTATTGCATCTCTTTCGCTGTTTTGAAATATGTTAGATTCCACCGGAAACAAAAACGTCAACTTCCGGTTTTAGGTGATAAACTACGTTATTTCGATATTTAACTCTCTCATAAATATTGCTTATCGATAAAGTACTTGAAATGTTTTTATGCATTTTGTAGATACTGCAAATGTCAAGAGAAACTTCAGAGATTTTTTTTTAATAAAATTCACTTCCGGTCGCTTGTTTACTTGTTCTCAAAATTAGAATTTGTTCTCACAATATTGCTCGGCAACAGTAGCCACTAAAGTCTAAAACTTTCAGAACTGATAGTCAGTCATCAGTTTATTTTGAATCGCGAGAAAATCTTGTATCGCCGTTACTTCCGGTCGTGACAGGAAGTGATGCAAAAAAAGTGAATGGTTAATGGTTAGCGCGTTGGATTTTCACGCTGACGACCCGGGTTAAATCTCCAGAGTGTTTGAATTTCTTTTATCACCTTTTAAGCTTGAATTAACGTTTTAATTTTCAAAATTGGACGGAAGACCTCTCATTGCTCGCAATGAGTTTCTAGTTCTGTGTACTATTTTTAGTTTTACCTAGTCAGTTTTTAGCTCACCTGAGCTGAAAGCTCAAGTGAGCTTTTCTGATCACCCGTTGTCTGTCATCTGTCCGTCTGCCTAGCTGTCCGTCTGTCTGTCTCTCTGTAAACTTTTCACATGTTCAACATCTTCTCTAGAACCATTGGGCCAATTTTAACCAAACTTAGTGAAAAGCATCCTTGGGTGAAGGGGAGTTTAAATTGTAAAAATGAAGGACCAAGCCCCCTTCAAAGGGGAGATAATCAAGAAAAGACAAAAATTAGGTGGGGCCACCAAAAAATCTCTGCTCAAAACCACTGGGCCAGAAAAGCTGAAACTTATGTGGAAGCATCCTTGGGTAGTGTAGATTCTAAATTGTTCAAATCATGACCCCCGGTGGTAGGATGGGGCCACAATAGGGAATCCCAAGTTTTACATTGAAATATGTAGTAAAAATCTTTAAAAAATCTTCTTCTCAAGAACCACGGGGCCAGAAAAGCTGAAACTTATGTGGAAGCACTCTAGGGTAGTGTAGATTCTAAATTGTTCAAATCATGACCCCGGGGTGTAGGATGGGGCCAGAATAGGGAATCCAAGTTTTGCATTTAAATATGTAGAATAAAATCTTTAAAAAATCTTCTTCTGAAGAGCCACTGGGCCAGAAAAGCTGAGACTTATGTGGAAGCATTCTAGGATAGTGTAGATTCTAAATTGTTCAAATCATGACCCCGGGGGTAGGTCGGGGCCACAATAGGGAATCCAAGTTTTACATTGAAATATGTAGTAAAAATCTTTAAAAATCTTCTTCTCAAGAACCACGGGGCCAGAAAGGCTGAAACTTAAGTGGAAGCATCCTGGGGTAGTGTAGATTCTAACTGTTTAAATCATGACCCCTGGGGGTAGGGCGGGACCACAATTAGTACTACAAGGTGGGGAATCAGATGAAACACAGCAAGGCCAAAGTTTCTTAGGTGAGCGTTGTGGCCCATGGGTCTCTTGTTTTCTATTCAGAAGTCTATGAAATCTTGCATGTTAACATTTAAATGCCTATAGTATATAGTAAATTTGTCCTTTTTTTAAAGGGAGATAAGAATGACCGCCAGAGTGCTGCTAAAATGAAGATGTATGGACCATTAACTCGTGATACTTATGAATGGCATCCAGATCGTGTTGTCTGCAAGCGTTTCAACATCCCAGATCCATACCCCAGGTGTGTAGATTATCTTTCTATTAACATTTGAGTTCCTCCATTCAAATCATCTGAAGCCACAGTCTGGAGTCCGCTTATAGCAGAATGGGAGAGGATCATACATTTTGGCCGTGGTTTGCGACGATGCTTCATTCCATTTTTTTCTTAAACAGTTTCTGTAAATGTCCTTGGTATTTCCATATGTGATATTAGTAAGTGTCCTTGGTATTTCCATATGTGATATCAGTAAATGTCTTGATATTTCCATATGTGATATCAGTAAATGTCTTGGTATATCCATATGTGATATCAGTAAATGTCCTTGGTATATCTATGTGTGATATCAGAATCCCTCCTATCCCTCTAATCAAGAAAGCATTTATACAATTGAAATAAAACCAAAGAAGAACTTATAATAATATCCTTATTTCAAATAGTTATTGGAATACATGTACTTGCATTCCAGCTTTAATGAAATGTAGTTAGATATACAATGTTTGTAATATTAATCCCATTTTGTTTTCATTTAGATCTACCATAACTGGTGTTCCCAAAGTAAAAAGGGACAAATACACTGTCTTCAACTTCCTAAACTTTTCATCCAATGAACCAGAAGAGCAAAAATCCACCCCACAGGAACAGAGATCCGTGCCACAGGAGAGTGAGATCAGAGCTCTTCCTGCTCCTGAAGATAAACAGGGTAAAACAATTTGTATTTTGTACAAAATTGATCCAGCAGAATCAGATAAAGCTGGACATCTATTCACAAAATATCTTACAATCAGTCGTAGTCGTAAGATTTTTTTCTGAAGATTTTTGGTTATTCACAAAAAAAACGTACGTTTGATTTACGTCAAAAACAGTCATAAGTTTACCTCGTCTTTGGTTGACATAAGTCTATAAATACTATATGGTAATAAGCATAAAAATAAAAAATGGCCACCACATTATCTGTATCATTAAAATATAATCAAAAAAGAGCAAAGAAAATTACTTAGACCTAGGATATTTCAGGTCAGTACAAATCTGTTTGTATCATTCATCATGGAGGAATGGTACCGTTTACCAAGAGAGGAAATCAAAAGGGGGGGTGTCATCCCTAAAAAATATTGACAAGGCAAAAAATAAATAAAAATAAAGAAAAAGAAAACAAAATACCTGCAGAAAATTTGACAAAAATAAAAAAGCTGAATTTTTTTCATTATATTCATTATTTCATTATATATATTCTCTTTTTTGATACTTGAGTTAAAAGAGTTTGCCAAAGCTAAATTTTATAATAGTAAGGTCAATCGCCATCCTTCAATAAAAAAAGGCCATTCTTTAAAAAAGGGGGAACTACAGTGTATGTGCCTAAGTTATCAACATTAACGCAACCTGTGCTGGAACCCATTTTCATGAATTCCAGTGTATTACAAAGTATTGAAAAGGGTATTATATTCATCTTTTTAGTGTATTTATCGAAAAAGAAAGTTTTGAACCCATCACTATATTTTTCAAGAACATTTAAATAAAAAGTATACAATGCTGGCAGATATATGTACTTGTTTTCAAATGTCAAGAAAAAGAAAAAACTTTTTTACCATAAAATAAACTTTGCCGAGATGTAAGTTTTATGCTGTCAATATCGTTTGTAAAATTATTTCAATTTTATTCTAAATTGAACAAAAATAACTAGATAATTTTGTTTATATGAAGTGCATAAATTAAATCACATGCATTTCTTTCGTTTCTCTTCAAATTTGAGTAATATATATTATAATTTTATTTTCATTTTTGTTGCCTTCAATATCTTGTGGTTAACTGACTTTGAATACATCTTAACTATTTTCTGAATTATCTGCGTCCTCTACCCCTATCAAAATTTTCCGCCTCAATCGGCTATCCCTGGTGGATACAATCAATTTTTTGCCGGTCTCTGTAGGTACCGCAAATCATCAGATTCAAGTATCCTACCTATATCCTATGCCAGGGACCTATATATGAATGCCCGATCTAAGTGGTATGCTGTGTTGTAAGATGAATATGTACTGGTCCGATTTTTCCGTATTATTCGAGAATATTTGCATTTATTTATTGAAAAGATGTTAAATAAACTTTGAAAAAAAACCTATCTTTTAAGTTATCTTCACAAAAATTATCACTTTATAATTATTTACCTCTACATATTCTTTAAAGTAAGAGGGTGTCCTATCCATATGGCTCTTTTTGACATACATGTTATGATGTACTTGTGTAATTTGTATTTGTATTTAGCCAGATTTACTCATCATTATTAAATATTAAACATTGTGGTTGATGTTTGTAAATGTTCTATATACTATACAAGACCCACCTAGCACCTTCGTTTGCATTCATGATTGCGTAATCATCTTTCCCGCATTGCATCACCTGCGCATGAGCAGTTGTCAGTAACCAAGGAAGAGAAAATCTTACGATCGTTTTTCACTTACGACAATGTCGATCTTACAACAACTTTCATGAATAGCACCATAACTTAAATCTTAGGATTATCGTAAGTTCAAGCCATAGTCGTAAACTTACGATTTTTTGTGAGTAGATGTCCAGCATAGCTGCTATTAAAAGAAAATATGTACAAGTCACAAAATTGTAGATAAAGAACCTATTGATATGAATTTTGAATTTTGTGAAGATGAAAATAAATGTGTGAAAAGGAAATGTTAAAGAGCCTGTCTGAGAATGATATGTTGACACTATATACTGTATATATAAGTAAATTTTAATTTATTTATTCATTCAGATAGAACAGAAGGAATATCATTCAAGATAAATTCATCTCAGTCTAAACTGACAACATCAATTTTCTCTTCTTTGAATGAGGAAAAATTTAAAGATTTGCCCCCAAAGACTCCAGACAAAGAGGTAATACATGAATAAAAATCCTAAATTCTTAAAAATCACTCTGTGTTCTGAATTTTGTGGTGTATGTAGATGTACAAATTGTACCTGTAAAGTTTAAAGATTTTGTATGCAAATGTTAATCTGAGTAATGTACCGGTACACTGTATATTTTTAAACTATGTTGAAGAGTTTATGACTTCAACTAATTCAGTAAAACATATCTGATGACTTTAAGCATAATATGTAAGCTATAGCATTTAATCTTAAGATTTTTAACGAGATATAATGTTTGATTTGCACATTTCTACAGATCAATACTTGTAAAAAAAACTTACAAATCAATTACAGGAAGACTCTAGGCCTTCTATGGATCTTTTTGAGGCTATTTTTGGAAACACAGACTCTGAGGAGTCCGACAAGGAAGAACAACACACCGACACACAGCAAATGGACACAGAGGAAAAAATCACGGAACATCAGAACAAATCTCAGACTGACCAACAAAGTATCGGAGTGACTAGATCCATCCAGAGTAGTGCTGAAAAGCTGGAGTCTGTCATGTCAGAAGAGTACAGAAAAAAGGGAGACAAGTCAGAGAGATCAAAGGGAGGCAAACCTGATACAGAAGAGTCACCAGCAGGGAAACCAGCACCTCCAGGAAACTCTATCTTCTCACATTTATTTAAAAAACCAGAAAAAGGTAATTTATAATATTAAATGTACTCCTCCTTATATATCATCGTGTTGCATAAAATGGTAAGAAAGAAATTTATTGATATTTATCCTTAACAGTGGGAGTTATAAGTTTAGAATATTGTTGTTGTTTTATAGAGGAGGCTAGCTGTTTACCTGGTGCACCTGTTGTCATAGAGACTGTAGAAAAGAGGCTATCAGGAGACAGCAGAGAAGAATCGTTTGGTCCAGATCTCCCACCCTCAATGAAAGGTAATTACTATGCTGATAAAGTTTTTGTAAAGAAAACTTTAAAAAGAAGGTGATTTGACAGAAAATATCAGTTGCAGTGAAAAATTACACTGAAAATTAAAGAAAAAAATCGTGGTGTGATTGAACTTATCTTCAGTGAGTTTGATGAATGGTTTACTTGTAAACTCCTGATCTACAGTGAGGTAGATGAATGGTTTACATGTAGACTCCTGTGGTACTCTCGTAGATAACAAATTTCCCTATTCTGCTTATGTGATGTTCCGATGAGAGAACAATTATAATGATGTGTTATTCCTACTTAAATCTGTGTGATACATGACCTTCTTTTTTGACTCTGTGTACATAGATCAGTCAAGAGGGAGTATGGATGTGCAGTTTACCCATAAAGAAAGGAGTGATGAAAACAGAGACAGGACACGACAAAAAGATAGGGAGAAGGATGGATACAGAGATAGACAGACAGACAGATATAGAGATAGGACTAGAGACAAATATGGAGGGAAGGAAGGAGACCATGAGAAGGAACATTCCAGAGAAAGGTGGATAGAAAGAAAAGAACAGAGTTCTAGTGAGAGAGACAACAGGAAAGACAAGCATAAAAAACACAAACACACCAAGAATAAAAAGTCTAAACACAAGAAAAAACATAAAAAAGAGAAAAAGAGCCATCACAGGGATAAAGTTACCCAGGGCAGCTCCTCTGATGCTGACAGTGAGAGTGATAGTGATACCCCCATAACAAACCAGGAACTGCTGCAGAAATTCAAAAGTCTCTCAAGATCAGGCAAATTATAGGCTTAATACACATATATATATACAGAGAAATTAGTACAGAGAGTGTGAATAAAAGATTTTATTGTTTCTTGTATATTTTGTTTCATTTTGTATACAGTCAAACCTCGTTATCTTGATCTTGATGGGACCAAGAATCCGAGAATTCAAGATATTGAGGGTAAAATACTTGAAGAATAGGTGTTTGGGACTTCCAAATTATTTTGACATATCCATGGTATTTGAGATCTCAGTGTTCAAGATACAGAAATACAACTGTACTTGTATATAATGTAGGGTTATCTGATGACAACCCAACAAGTAAAATATTAAGATTAAAAGATTGGTAATATTTCTTTTCTCTCTATCTTATTTGGTAAAATTAGAACTCATAAGGTCTGTCCATCAATCTGTCACCCTCTCATCTCCAGAGAAGCAGAGCTGTTAAATAGTGTTTCTCTATCAAGTCTGACAGTTCAACTCTCAAGTTACAGTACAAAATATGAAGTTTTGTTATTTAGAGGTAGAAAGGATATTCGGTTGTGTTTAGACACTAATTAATGAAAAAATTACAAAAAATATTAATGTATCCTCCAAGAGTACATGTTGGTTTATTTAAAAAATATTTTTACATAATTGGAATTGAATTGCACACTAGGCTATAAGTAGCACATGTTTTTGCTCGGTGTGTCGATTTTATCTGTATTTCGGTCGGTTGCCATTATATCATTATACAATGCACAACAATTGTACTGATCTGTCGCTCTGAATCTACTTCCCGGACTGTTTTAACCAGTTAAAAAAAGTCACAAGACAAACATTAATTGTTCACCCTTAAGAGTTTAGTAGGAGATTTGATCGCGCCAGACCTGGTATTTAACAAACCGTAGCGTGTATACAATAGAGCTTCAGGTTTGAGGAAGTGATAAATATTGGGCGAATATCCAAGCTATTGGTAACTATAGGAGACTTTTGGGGATATTGAAGGTCTGTTGGGAGGATGTACTCGACAGTGTTTATTGTGGGGTGCTTCTTTTGGGCCGGAGTAAGATCGGAAGGTAGGACTTACGCGTTTTCATTTGTGTTGACTCATTCATGTATATGCACTGGTGTGTGACATTAGTGGCCTACTTAAAAGACAGGTGTGAAAATAAACATACCTTCCTAAAATACCTTTGGATTCATTCTGCATAGTTGGATTTTATTTCAATGATTCATTGGAAATCTCATATCTATTACTTAATGTTCGAAAACAAAGACTACAAAGTTAGTTAATTAAGTTAAGTTTATTCATTTAATAATTTCTATCAGGCTCGTAGAACGTATAAGTCTAGTAAAACTTTCAAGATTGACGAGACTATAATGTTTTTCCCCTCCAACATCGTATCCTCAACACTGTTTCCTTTTAAAAAATACATATTTTTAGTTCAGTGATTGATTGTAAAAAAAAAATAATAAGGAAAAATTATTGAAAAAAAAAATATAAGGAAAAATAAATAAATAAAAAAAGGGAAATGGCTCAAAAATAAAGAGATGATTAAACAATGACTCAAAGATTTACAGATTTATGTGCCTCGTACATGTAGTATAAATAGAACAGAAAGTGAAAAAAACCCTGATTCACGTATTTTTAAGTTAAAATTTATTGTTCAGTGTTCTTGGGATCTTTCTTAGCTGTTTTGGATCGTTACAAATATACTTGTTAGATTTAAAATAAATCACAAGATGACAGACAAGTTTTGCAGTGCACTTCATTATCTTACCAATGAAAAACTTTGATACACTGTGTAAAGTATCCAATGAATTTCCAAGTACCCTGCACAATTCAATTCAATTTATTCCCTTAAAAACCATGTAAATGGTACATGAGGTACAAATACATATAAAACATATATACATATAATACAGTGGGTCAAGCAAAATATGAGATTAATTCAGCTAGCTAGGGAGAACAGACCATACTATTAATCTTAGTAATAAATGTACATAATTTTTTTTCAAAGAATCAACATCATTTTGGCACATAACTTCACAAAACTTCATAATGTTTGGATTAGAACAAAATTTTTGGTTCAAAATTTTTTTCCTCGGTTGGTTTAAAGCACTACTTTCTAAAATATAATGATATTCATCTCCTATCTGATTACTATCACATAAGCTACAGAATCTTTCAATTCTTTGAGTACCATTCCATCTACCTGTTTCAGTTGGAAGGTGGTGGTTTGTGGTTCTAAATTTAACTTAAGTTTTTCTAAATTTACATGATAACAGTGTTAAATATTTTTCGCACTCAAAATTGGTTTTAAAAATTCTATCATTTAAACTTTTTGAAGATTCTTGAACTTCACTATTCCACTTTTGAATGTACTGATCTTTTAATCTTTGTTTGACTGTAGCAGTTATCCATTCTACATTATAGAAATATTGCTCATACCATATATTTGATAAACCACATCTGTCAAAAATATTTTGTAAATGAAATCCAGGAGTTTGTCATTTCTCCTTTATCATATTGTTTACGTAAATACATATATACAATTCTACACAATTTGTTTTCTTTTCCATACACACGTTTTGCCCAATATTTTACCATTCTTGAGTAAATATTTATATATAATGGAAACCGTCCAGTTTCTCCATAAATCATATAACTTGGAGTAGTACTTTTTAAATTCAATATATGTTTCAGAAAACGTAAATGTACTCGTTCAATAATATCAATATTTTCATAACCCCATATTTCACAGCCATATAACAATATACTGGTAAAATTACTTTATCAAACAGATCCAATTTTTTTTTTTCCAGTTTAATGAAGCTTTAATTATTCATTAAATATTGATACAACCGGATCATTTCATTTCATTTCATTTCATTTTATTCACTCACACCAACATCAGTGGTACATGAGGTACAATAAATTAGTCGTCATAATTGTGACAAAAATAATAAATTTAATTATGATACAATAGCATAAATGAGGGGCATATACATATGTACATAGTATAGCAATAAACATACAATGAAAGAAGAAAAGAAGAAAAAAAAATGGTATGATAACATTTAAATTATGGAGGACAGACGGTGTCGTTTATTTTAGATATAAATATACAAAGGTTTTTTAAAGTTTTTAAGTTTGTCGTTGACATAATTTCAGAAAACTTAAGTGTATTCGGCGTTTTACAAAATCTGGGATGTAAAAGATTCTTTCTGATGCTGTTCAATGTTTTACATTCTAGGATGAAATGATATTCGTCTGCTATTTGCCCTGTATTACACAATTTACAAACTCTTTCATCCAGTGGAATATTTAACCATCTACCAGTTTCAATTGGGAGGTGGTGGTTTGAAGTTCTAAATTTTATTAGTATTTTTTGGAGTTTACTAGGTAAAATACTTAGATATTTTTCAAATCCAAAATCACTCTTAAAAATTTTGTAAATTTGACCTTTTGATGAATTATTTATATCACTATGCCATTTTTGAATAAATTGGTCGCTTAATCTTTGCTTCACTGCTGCAAGTACCCAATTCCTGTCAATGGGACTTTGTTCATACCAAATGTTGGAGAACCCACAAGAGGTTAAAATTTTATAAATGAAATCTACCCATAGGTTTTTTGGACCTCCTTGAAAATATTGAGAACATAGATATTTATACAAAACACAAACTATTTTGTTTTCTAAAGAATTCGGGGTAAGTAATTTTAACCAGTAGGAGATCATTCTTGTATAAATATTAATATACAATGGGAATCGCCCAGTCTCCCCATACACCATATACGAGGGCGTACTACTCTTTAAATGGAAAATATGTTTTAAAAATTTTAAATGTACACGTTCAATGATGTCGAGATTTTCATAACCCCAAATTCCACAGCCATAAGTCAAAATTGGAACAACAACTTTATCAAAAAGATCTAACTGACATTCAATTGGTAAGTTAAATTGTCTTATCTTCCTTATAACACCATACATTGCTTTCTGTGCTTGTTCACATAAATGTTTTTTGGCCTTACAAAATGAACCTGAGCGTGAAAATATTATCCCAAGATACTTGAATTCTTTTACATTTTCAATTGCATTATTATTATAATAAAATACCTTTTTTGACATTGGTCCTTTAGAAAACACTAGAATTTCTGTCTTACTAACATTAACATTAAGTTTCCATTGTGAACAATACAAATAAAAATCATCCAAAGCCTTTTGCAGATCTACATCTGTTTCAGCCAAGATAACAGTATCGTCTGCATATAACAAAATGAAAAGCTTAAGATACACATATAATTCTTCTTCAATAGCGTCAGTTATGCTTTGTAAACCAATAATATTTCTGTCCGAGAGAAACTCTTCCAGGTCATTAATATATAAGGAAAATAAAAAAGGCGATAGACAATTGACATTCGAAGGGTAGATTAAATTGTCTAATTTTACGTATCACACTATACATTGCCTTTTGTGCTTGTTCACATAGGTGTTTTCTTGCTTTACATAATGAGCCTTTACGAGAAAATACAATACAGGAGTATTATATAAGAAATTATCATTTTAGTGAGGTGTTAATTAACAAATGCATGCGGCGCAGTCTCTAATAATTTATACGACAATACAATAATTTAATGCAGGCCCGTAGAACGCGGGGGAGGTGGACCCCCACTTTTTTCTGAGTATAGTATTTTTGCTGTAGTGAATTTTCATATTGATGCCTCAGTACACACACACATAATTTTTAGTTGCTGTAAGGTTGAGCATTGGCGAATTCCAGGATTTTGACAGTTTAAAAAAATGTAAATTTTTATAATTTGTTTTTGTTTTGTTTTTCTTGTTTTGTTTTGCTTTTCAGATATATTGGGAAGTTGCCCCCTCCCTTTTGGACAGTTTAGTTTTTAGCTCACCTCGACGAAGTCGAGATGAGCTTATGCTATACCCCCGGCGTTGGCGTCGGCGTCGGCGTTAGCGTCGGCGTCCCGGTTAAAGTTTTAGGAGCAAGTCCCATTCCCAAGTAACTATAAGCCCTACCTTGACCAAACTTGCATGGATGATGCATCTAGGGATGGACACTACCACACTTGCTTCGGATGCTGGATATGACCTAGATTTTCCAGATGATTGACCAGGTTAAAGTTTTTGGAGCAGGTCCATTCCCAAGGAATTATAAGCCCTACCTGGACCAAACTTGCATGGATGATGCATCTAGGGATGGACACTACAACACTTGCTTCGGATGCTGGATCTGACCTAGATTTTCCAGATGAGTGACCAGGTTAAAGTTTTTGGAGCAGGTCAATTCCCAAGTAACTATAAGCCCTACCTGGACCAAACTTGCATGGATGATGCATCTAGGGATGGACACTACCACACTTGCTTCGGATGCTGGATCTGACCTAGATTTTCCAGATGAGTGACCAGGTTAAAGTTTTTGGAGCAGGTCCATTCCCAAGTAACTATAAGCCTTACCTGGACCAGACTTGCATGGATGATGCATCTAGGGATGGACACTACCACACTTGCTTCGGATGCTGGATCTGACCTAGATTTTCCAGATGATTGACCAGGTTAAAGTTTTTGGAGCAGGTCCATTCCCAAGGAATTATAAGCCCTACCTGGACCAAACTTGCATGGTTGATGCATCTAGGGATGGACACTACAACACTTGCTTCGGATGCTGGATCTGACCTAGATTTTCCACATGAGTGACCAGGTTAAAGTTTTTGGAGCAGGTCAATTCCCAAGTAACTATAAGCCCTACCTGGATCAAACTTGCATGGATGATGCATCTAGGGATGGACACTACCACACTTGCTTCGGATGCTGGATATGACCTAGATTTTCCAGATGAGTGACCAGGTTAAAGTTTTTGGAGCAGGTCCATTCCCAAGTAACTATAAGCCTTACCTGCACCAAACTTGCATGGATGATGCAGATTGGGATGGACACTACCACACTTGCTTCGGATGCTGGATCTGACCTAGATTTTCCAGATGAGTGACCAGGTTAAAGTTTTTGGAGCAGGTCCATTCCCAAGTAACTATAAGCCCTACCTGGATCAAACTTGCATGGAGGATGCATTTAGGAATGGACACTACCACACTTGCTTCGGATGCTGGATCTGACCTAGATTTTCCAGATGAGTGACCAGGTTAAAGTTTTTGGAGCAGGTCCATTCCCAAGTAATTATAAGCCCTACCTGAATCAAACTTGCATGGAGGATGCATATAGGGATGGACACTACCACACTTGCTTTGGATGCTGGATCTGACCTAGATTTTCCAGATGGGTCACTAGGTTAAAGTTTTTGGAGCAGGTCCATTCCCAAGAAACTATTAGCCCTACCTGGACCAAACTTGCATGGATGATGCATCTGGGGATGGACACTACCACACTTGCTTCGGATGCTGGATCTGACCTAGATTTTCCAGATGAGTGACTAGGTTAAAGTTTTTGGAGCAGGTACCCAATTATAAGCCCTACCTGGACCAAACCTGCATGGATGATGCATCAAAGGAAGGACTCTACCATACTTGCTTCAGATGCTGGATCTGACCTACATTTTCCAGATGAGTGACTAGATTAAAGGTTTGGGAGCAGGTCTATTCCCAAGTGATTATTTAAGCCTTACCTTGACCAAACTTTCGTGGATAATGCATCTAGGGATGGACGCTACCACACTTGCTTGGGATGCTGGATCTGACCTAGATTTTCCAGATGAGTGACCAGGTTAAAGTTTTTGGAACAGGTCCATTCCCAAGTAACTAAAAGCCCTACCTGGACCAAATTTGCATGGATGATACATCTAGGGATAGACACTACCATATTTGCTTCAGATGCTGGATCTGACCTAGATTTTCCAGATGATTGATCAGGTTAAAGTTTTTTTGGAGCAGGTCCATTCCCAAGTAAATATAAGCCCTACCTGGACCAAACTTGCATGGATGATGCATCTAGGGATGTACACTAACTAACCTGCTTTGGATTCTGGATCTGACCTAGATTTTCCACATGAGTGAATTTTAGCCATATTTTAACCAAATTAGCATGAATGATGATGTATCTAGAGATGGACAGTTCCAGACTTACTTTGGATTCTGAATCTAATATTGATGGATATTAATCTTGGAATGTACACTAACTAGGAAAAAAATATGATGTGAGATTTACCTTACTTATAGATAACATTCGTCGAGGTGAGCTTAGTAATCTTTGATTACCTATGTTTTTTGTTTTGTTTTGTTTTGTTTTTTGATTTTGCTCATCAGTTTTTTTTTTGGGAAGCCCCCCCCCCCCCCCCGAAACACTTTTAAAACAGTTGCTACGGACTTGTGAAAAACATGGGGAAAAGGCAAATAAAATGCTTATGATTTCTAATGAATAAAAAAATAAAAAATAAACCAGTTTTTAGACTTGGTTTTCAAAACAAAAATTCAAGGTATAAAATTTTACCAAGTTATGTCATTGTGCATGTAACATATCATTTACCAAGTTATGTGCATGTAATATATCATAACATTTTGTCCCCTGAATTATTTTATAGTAAACAATAATATAATCCAGCGATGAATTTGACACCATGAAACGTTATAAAAATGTTGGTATTTAAATATATATATGAAAAGGGTGAAGATAACGGACAGTGATCGATCTCAAAAAATCTATAAACAATACCATTCTGTGAAGAGAGCATAAAAAACGGACCCTTAGAAATTCCAGAGGTGGAGTCAGGTGCCTAGGAGAAGTAAGCATCTCCCGTTGATCGGTCACTCCCGAATGAAATATACATGTATATATAGGGGTAACGAATGTTAGACTTTGCATCTGCGTCGTAATTTTAATGTGATTTTTGATCAGGAACATGTAGATGAAGCAGTAAGAGAAAAAGAATAAATAAAATTATATAAAAAATCATTGTAAGAAAAATCATTAAAAGGGGACGGATTGTTTTAGCAGGGTCCTGTCAACAAACACTTGTGTTTTTTGGCTGACGTGTTTCATACCAATTGTTAGGCATTTGTTTTTATACTAAAATTTGACTTCGGAATGTTTCATCTTTATCTGATCAATACATGGGGATCACGGCGGTGTGACCAATCAACAGGGGATATTTACTCCTCTACTTCTCCAAGGCACCTGATCCCCATGGGATTTCCGGGAGCCCGTGTTTTATGCCCTGTTCACATATTTTTATTGTTTTTAGTTTTTTGAGATCGATCTCTGTGTGTCATCTTCACTTTTTTTTTTCATTTGATTAACTCTGATGTTAATTTGTACACGTAACATTATTCAAAAGTCGTGTTTTGCAGGACATATATAACATTATTCAGAAGTCGTTGTTTGCAGGACATAAAAATAAATTTAAATTTTACCTTTTTTATACTTGTTTCAAAGAATATAATTCTAGAATTTTTTTTATTTTTAAAGAGCTCTACGTCTCGACTCCGACGTCTATCTTACGTGTGGATACATCAACTTTACAGACATCGACAATTGTCACCAAGGTAAATTTAAATAAACTGGACAGAATATAGCAGTATAAGTCTTTTGTCAAAGTAAGAATCTGAGCTTGAGAGCTTCATTTGGGTCTTTCCCCCATGAAACTTTAAAACATCATTTTGCTTATATTGAAATGACTTGTTGGTTGTAATTGTTTTAATTAAGAACTTTAAGTTTAAAACACCTGTCAGCAACTCATATTAGTCTCTGTGAAAAATGAAATAAAATGCTGGGGCATAAAAGGTAAATTTTCAACTAAGTGTCCTTTGAACATTATTTTTATAGAGATAACCTTGAATAAACAATAACTTTTCTTATGGAATCTTGATTATATCGCTGGTTTTTATGACCATTTTTTGGCCTTGATTTATCCATAGTCACTTATTTCACAAGTTGAAATTTATAAATCGTTATAAAAAAATCTTAATAGGCCGACACTTTGCATTTTTGTACACGCTTTCAATAGAATAAAAGTGCCTGTTCTATTTCCAATTCAATTTTATGGATGTAGTTTAAAGTAAATAATTTTTTGAGGGATGTTTCGTTCTGTGGTCTAATTACTTAGTATTCTTTATTTCTTGTTTTTTTTATTTACAACTTCATTGTTTTATTTCTTTATTCTATTGAATTTGATCTCTGTAATTTCAACATCTAAATTTTGTATTTAACTGTTGTCTTTGTAGGAGAACGGACGTTTGTTGGGTTTGGCCGCAGACTGGAGGAACCAGAAAATATATTATTCAGACGTGTCTTCCAATGGCGCAGGCATATACGAATCTGATCTGCAGGGTAACAACGCCAAGAAACTTCCAATTCAGTACCCAGGTAAAATACTGTCAATTAAATAGGCTGCCAACAAACAGCAATGACAAAACAACCCCCCCCCCTCTCTCTTTCTCTCTCTCTCCCCGATGTTATCCGTGATAGCATTGCATAAGCATTACATAATGTGCAGCAAAGTTCTAAAATTAAAAGCTGAAAATTGTGTATTTCACTTCTTTTGTTAGTACTAGCACATGTTAATGCTATGTTTTAAACTTTTTACTTTAATATAGATAATAGTTTATGGCTAGAAAAGTCATATTTCGTATTTCTAAGTAAAGCTGTTGGTTTATTTCTGGACCACCGAGCCTACTTAACACATCAAACGACATATACAACATACAGTGTAGTTGTGTCAATTAATATATTAACAGTGGATTTTTGTGTTTGCTATTTCGTACAATTTAAAACATTTAGAAATAAACATTTAAAGTGGTGACTGTTCTGAAAAGAGACGACCTTTGCTCTGATCTAAATAACATCAAGTACTCTTATGGTATTAAGTAGTTTTACTGAGGGCTTCTCTAAGATCCACTTACAAATGGACCACTGCTGAATAACGGGGAACCCCAGCGTCTCATCTCTTCTCTGTAACAATACTTAAGGTGTCTTATGAGAACACTAGCTTTCCAATAGATAAGTGTATTCCTCGAAAATTATATGAAAAGAGCTATAAGCGGACTCTGGACCATGGCTTGAGACGATTCGAGTTTACATACATATACTTTTTTAAATACAGTGTTTGCTTTAAACTGTTATTTTTAATTACAAAATATAGAAAATGATCGCTTTGTGATACACGAAAATCGACAAATTCCGGTTAGATTTGGGCAAAAAATTCTATACAATTACATCCTGACTTTAAGACAATAATGATAGAACTTGATTTTTCCTTTTACGTGTCATATATTTATCCCATTATGTCGTCTTATGGTTACCAATCCTATACATTAAAAATAGAACACATTTCCTTCCCTATCACTTAAAATGTGGGTTTCAGCGTAATTTTTTCCTTGAAGGGTAATCAGTGGATCTGCGGTACCTCATCACATGTTTCTCAGGAAAACAAGACACTTACCGGTAGAGCACACTTAATACACTGATGACATGTATATTATCCCAAGAGTTTAATGTTGGTTACCAAATACACACTCAAGTATATACTTATGAAATGATAACATCATACTACTCTGGATTCTTTTTTATAGAAATGATTTATTAATCTAACCCCAAAAAGTCAAGTGGTTGGTAAAAAAACAAGAAAACAACAAGATGTGTTTGTGAAACACTGAGGTTAAAGATTAAAGTTTCTCAAATGTAAGTAAAATGCAAAGGTCAAGGTCAAGAGATAAAAATATTGGTACCCTAAGAAAGTCCTCGTCACAAGAAATATACTTGTGAAATATGAAAGCCCTAGCACCAACCATTTAAAAGTTATGAACAAGGTTAAGGTTTTTCGAAAGTAGGTCAAACTCCAAGGTCAAGGATAAAAGGTCAAATTGTTGGTACCCAAGGGAAGAACTTGTCACAAGAAATAAACACATAAAATATGAAATCCCTAGCATCAACCGTTCAAAAGTTATGGCCAAGGTTAAATTTTAATTTAAAAGTAGGTCAAACTCTAAGGTCAAAAGGTCAAATTGTAGGTATCCAAGGGAAAGTCTTGTCACAGGAAACACACATGTAAAATATGAAAGCCAAAGCACCAAATGTTCAAAAGTTACGGCCAAGGTTAAAGTTTTTTTAAAATAATGAGTCAAACTCAAAGGTCAAGGTCAAAAGGTCAAAAACATTTATACCCAAGGAAAGGTCCTCTCATATAGGAATAAACATATCAAGTAGGAAAGCCCTAGCACTAACTCTTCGAAAGCTATGGCCAAGGTTAAAGTTTGTTAACATTTTGCAAAGTGGTTCAGACTCCCGGCCAAGGTCAAGAGGTGAAATATGTTGGTACCCAAAGAACGATCTTGTCACAATTAAAGGATACATTAAGGTCAAACTCCAAGGCCAAGATCAAGAGCTCAAATATGTTGGTACCCAAAGAAAGATCTTGTCACAGTTAAGGGATACATATGTGAAATATGACATCCATATCTCCGACCAATCAATAGTTATGGACAAGATTAAAGTTTTTGCGCACAAACAGACAGACAGACGGACAGGGAAATCTTCGATTACGGAGGTATAAAACACCAACAACAACAAAGCTTAAGAATATTACTGCTGTTGATAAATTTATTGACCAAGAATGACGAACACTGTACCAAATTATTTAGGGTCATAAGACTCATAACTCAATATAATTTGATTTCAGTATGTTAAAGTGACACATAAGTATCCATTTGCGAGGAATCTCGTTATTATTATTATTATTATTATTTTTTTTACAGTTTCTTAATTACATTGTTATAGTAGTGCTGTAGTTTTCATAAAGAAGACAAAGTTTTATGTAGAAAAGTATTTAATTTTAGTCAAGAAAATATATCCACAAACACCCGTGCATAACACATGTACGATATATAATTATACAGACATGGAACCCGTGGGTCTGGCGGTGGACTGGGTTTACGGACATTTGTACTGGACAGATACTGTCTACAGATCTGTTATGATGTCAAACCTGGACGGTACGGGACGAATCACCATAGTAACGGAAAATCTCATAATTCCTCGGGGCATTGCTGTGGATCCAAAAAGAAGGTAAGTACATGTATATGAAAGATATTATATCGTTTATGATATTGTGTATTCTTATCATCCATTTAAATGGTTTTGAATTTTACTAATTTTCTGTTTTAAAAAGGTTTATGGTCACTTCTTTTATGACGTATTTCATAAATAAGGCAAAAGAGATATTCTGAATCTCATAAACTAGTATGTTTTAGATTTCTGTTGAACTTATTTTTTTTATTTTAAATTACATTTTTTTCTTTTTAAGTGTAATAAATATGTGCTAAATTGTTTAATACATTGTGAAACGTATAGCTGGTGCTTCGATGCTGTACTTCCATACCTTCTTAACAACAGATAATGGCACTTGAAATTACATATTTCTTTACACAACGTGGTTGTAAGAATTATTCAAATGTCATAAGTACAACTGTAGTTAGCTTAGTGTTTGCGGGAGGTCACATATTTGAAAGAATAATTTGCGTTTTACATGTAATATGATTTCTTAATTCATGACTCTCTGATTTGTTGAGATCCAACATTGTACAAATCAAACTAAGTTATGTTCATCTGTTCGAGACCTTCGAATTCCAGATGAACATTAACATTTGACAAGAAATAGATTGAAAACTTCTAGATTGATGCAGTTTTTCACCAGCAACACCGGACCAAAAATAAATCAAGATATGCCATATTGTTACAATTGGTTATGTTTATTCAATTTTACTGTAACCCCACTTTTCTCATTGCATTCGACTAGGAATTCAAACAAATGTAAAAAAGAAAGACAGCAAGGTTTCCTCAGCGACTGTGTTTCAATTCCTCATTAAATCATTATGAAAAAAAATATTCCTTTTTCAGTCAATATGATGAGTTAGTAACCCTCGGCGTACAATATTCACCTCGCCCATTCTGATTCGGTGAATATTGTACTCATCAGGTAGTTAAGTCGTCGTATCGACCCCCAAATCAGGAAAAATTGTATTTTATTAACACAGAAAAATGCCCAATTAAAAAAAGAAAGAGAAAAGCTAGAATAAAAGTCAAGATATTTTAGTGTTATAAGTCAAATTCAAAAAGAATAACTAAAGATAACATTTAATGTTAAAAAATTAATAAATAATCCTGTTTTCGTATCTTGTTATAATCTTTTCAGTCCAATAGAACTACCTTAACGGGTTTCTTTAAGTATACCATCATAAGTAATTAAAGCTATATTCATTATCATGTATGACTTCAGAGAGCTGTACGTAGGTGATCAAGGAAACCATGCAGTACAGATCTGCGGTTTGGACGGAAGAAACTGCCGAGAGTTGAATGTAACTGATGCCAGCGCCACCTTCTGGCCAAATCAGATCACCATTGATCACGTATCAAGGTGAGTAACACGCCAGTTAAGGATATAAGCAACGTAGTTTTGCGACTTTAAATGCATAATGGTGCCGCCACGTCTTCTTACCAATGTTGTCAAATCGGACGATTTTTAGTAACCGGTTACTCTCTTACTTTTCCGATCGAGTACCCGGTTACTCGGATGATTTGTCATTACACCTCTTAGCAACCTTGTAAGCAATAAATATTTAACAGTAACTGCAATGATTTTAATGTTTGTGTAATATATGTCTTTAATATCTTTTCTTTTATATACACTGTACTGGTATTTAAAAGGAAAAAGCAAACGCACTACATATGAATTTATTTTCAGTAATAAACACACATCGTCTAAATATTTTTTCTTGAATGACTCTGATAAGCGTAAATTACTTTATAAAAAAAAAAGAAAAAGAAAGAAAATACCATGTTATAGGGTCTTTGTTAATATTATTCCATTTCACATATTTGAACTTTATATAAAATTTACAGATTCAATGATTTAAAATCGGCTTAATTTTCTATTAAAATATCTTAATGCCTATGATGTCTTGGGTGGCATCTTAATCACGTAATTAATAAGGTAATTATGAACTCATGTTTTCAAAACGCACACACCCCTCGGCAATCAAAGCCTTTAATTAGATAAAATGCGAAAACTCATCAAAACAAACGTATTTGTAAAACGTTAGATCGAAAGTAATGGTAAAAAATGGTGACATGTTTTAGGATTCATTGAACAAAAATCATTTATTTTCTACTCATGTCGTAATATCCGAGTAGCAGTTTTCCTACCCGATATTCGCATCATTCGGCGGTTAACCGGTTAACTGGATACTCGTTGACAACACTACTTCTTACACAATTTTTGAAGAAAAACCAGCTGAACTATTTGTAGATTAATTTTCATAAAAAACAAGGATTTTTATCATTTGATATCTATATGTAGCGCCGTCGAGCGGTAAACGGCTTTATTTATTACCTCATACAGTAAAATGGTAAAATGTTTTCTCTGTTTTTAAAATCTCCTCAATGTTTGAAATAAAACGATATAGGTAAGTTTTATATACAATTTATTTACAGGGACAGGAGCCCGTAAAACACATCACAATAATATGTAAAGACAATAATCCAGTATCTTTTGAACGTTCTATATACACATAAATCCCAACGACACAGTGACTAACTGACCCAAAATTTCCCCCCATATATATACCTGCTGGCCGATGCTCATAAGGAGCATCACCTTCAAAACAAAGAGAATTGCGTAACAACTAACCGATCCTCGCAAGAAGCATCGAGTAGCTATATCTAAAAATAGTTATACAAAACAATAATTGACCGTTAGCATAATTAAATGCTAAATAAACTAAACATTTTTTTTTTAAATTAACCTAAATCACTACATATACAAAAACCCTGGTAATGAATGCTGAGTTTTTGTCTAAGAACATCTGATGGTACTACATGAATTTAAATTAAGAATTAATGGGTAAGGTACGTTGGTAGATAGGTTGCATATGACCTCAATGGAAACAAGCAAGAAAACGGTGCAAGATGTGTTTGTTATTAACAAAGCCTTTCGTCTTTCATTGGCTCTTGGTTATGGTGTTCCAATAGGGCCATTTGCTCCGTCGAAATATGGCTGAAATTTTGCCGAGCGTTAAACAATATCAATCAACCAAAGGGGCCATTTACAAAAAGGTAACAGCGCGTTAGCAATAATGCAACGGTATGCTGTACACATCATACCGTTGCATTAAAAGTCAACACGTCGTACTAGCACACAATATACCGTCTCGCAAACGTTTTACATGACTCTACACAACACTTCGGTGGCGCTAACTCATTTCCTTAGGATATTGCACTAATACACAGCTTGCACTCATGGTAGCATACAAAACACTGTCGCGCTAACGCAACTTTTCACAACATGCTGTTACTCTATCACAACATTTTCACAACACGCCGTAGGGCTTTAGTTGCGCCAGTACGACGTTGTATTGTTCAGAAGTACGTTTGCGAGACGGCGTAATTTGTCTTAGCGTGACGCAGGGTGTGTTTTGTGTAAGTGTGTCGGTGTATATTTTGTGTTAATGTGGCGGTTTGATGTGTGCTAGTGCATTTTAACGTGTCGGTGTGTTGTATGTTAGCGGGAAAGTGTTGTGTGTTAGCATGATGATGTGTTTTGTGGATTAACGTGACAGTGTGTTGTGTGTTGCGTGATAGTCTGTGTTGTGTGTTAGCACGAATATGTGTTTTATGTGTAAGCACACCGGCATGATATGTGTTAGCATGAGAGTGTGCTATGTTTTAGCTAGACGAAGTGTTGTGTATTAGAGTGACGGTGTGTTGTGTGTTAGCATGTCGGTGTGATCTGTTAGTAGTGTGTTTTGATTTGTTTGTTTTGTATGTTGTTTAACGTCCCTCTCGAGAATTTTTCACTCTTATGGAGACGCCACCACTTGCCGGTGGAGAGCTGCAAATTTTGTCTTATACTCGGCACTTACGGCCATTGAGCAGTGAGGGGTCTTTTTCATGCCAGCACCTACTGCGACACTGGACCTCGGTTTATACGGTCTCATTCGAAGGACCGGTCTCCACGTCCCACAGTGGGATTCGAACCCGCGACGCAAGGATCAACTCCTTACTTCGCGACTCTAGAGCAGACGCTCTAACCACTGCGCCACGCGGGCGACTGGTGTGTTTTGTGTTAGCGCTACAGTGTTTTGTTATTAGCGTGACATTGTGTTGTGTGTTAGCGTGACGGTATGATGTTTGTAAGCGTGACGCTGTTCCTTTAAAGCATTACGGCGTGATGTGTGTAAACGTGAGGTTGAAATATGGTGGTAGCAAACTGTAATCAAGCTCAAAAGTCCATTTAAACAATACAAATCAGGAGCAGAGCAAACATGGACCTCTAAAAGCATCAGAGGTGGGATCAGGTTCCATGGAGGCGTAAACATCCCCGTCGAATTGTCAAACCCGCCGTGTGCTCTCTGTCATGATCAGGCAAACGGAAAATCCGTAGACAATACAGAGTGTAAATAATGGCCTAACAATTAGTATGAAAAATGTCAGTCAGCATTCGACTTAATGATAGATTGTATTTGCTGACAAGGTCATTGTATCGACCATAGGACTTGCCAAATATTGAATTCAAACGAGACTGTTTACATCCTCGTTTCATCAACTTCTTCAATTGTCAATAGCTTGCCTCATTTTAGATATTGTCCATACATAGAGCATGCTTTTACGTACGAGTTAAACTCCATATGCAGGTGATAAGGGTATATTTCTACATAAATAAGGGAAGATGACGATTGAAGAGTTAAGTCCTCACGTTTATCATAAAGATTAGTAGTTATGTTTCCAATTACGTCTTTTTCTAGTAGAATATCCATATATGAAACAGATTTGTCAGACTCTGCCTGTGGAATCTTTTATTTCAAGTTCACTGGAATATATGGAGTCGACATATGAATGGAAGTAACTATTGTTAATTTATAATACGTCGTCGATAATTAATGTCAAATTGAAGGCTACAAGTGTTTTCTTCTTATGTACAAGCTTTTATATAAATTCTGCTTCATATGAATGTTGCAAGTGATAATGCAGGGTTGAAATAGCCCGATGCCCAGGTCTAGTCATTTTAAGACTCGGGCTAGCTAGTTTAAATGTAACGATAGTCCATCGGATTTGCAGAACAGACAAAAATTCTCGTCAGTTTACTTTCGGTTTTTCTGTGAAGACTGAATTCTTTTGACTAAAAACTAATTCAATTTGTTTCTGTCACCAAAGCATTTGAAACTTTAATTTGTTATGTTTTCATTTTGCATAAAAATTGTTGAGCTATTTAGTTTGAGGTTTGGACTAGTATTTTTTTACTGATCAGTAGCCCCTGGGCTAGTGGGTTTTCCAGGAAAATTTCAACCCCTGATAGTGGTATATTGCTGCATAAGTAAGGGAAGTTGACAATTGAAAACATCACATTTATCATAAAGCGTAGTTGGTTGGTAACATCAACGTCATTTTCTAGTGAAATATTCAAATATGAAACAGATGTGTCAGACTCTGTTGTATCTTTTATTTCAAGCTCACTGGGATACATGTATATCGACGTATGATTGGAAATAACTATTGTTAATTGATAATACGTACGTCATCGATATATCCAAATGTCGAGCTGAAGGCCACAGCAAGTGTTTTCTTCTTCTCATGTATACTCAAACGCAAAAGAAACACAACATCCTAATTTTTGGGGGAAAATTATATACAGGTTTTAACTTTGTACTTTAAAAGTTAGGACATCTTCAACTTTGCCAAATCAGTAATTTAACGGTTGAATTATTTTCATTCCATTACCGGAATTTGATTTTAAGCCCTTTTTACAGAAATAAAAAATTGCATGTTTAATAAAACATTTGATGATAATTTGGGTTTTCAAGGGTTTGTAGCTGTTAATAATAAGTATTGCACTTATATTCCGAAGAAAAAAAATTATTCTTTCTTTTCCCGATTTTTTTTTTAGTGATTTTACAACCTATCGGGACAACGTATTCTTGGTGGTTTTTGTTTTTGTTTTTTTTTTTGCTTCTCGCTAAGAACCGATGAAAACAAAAAATCTTATGTATTAGTTGGAATGGTTGATTATTATAAAAAAAATTGTTAATCGGAATAATAATAATAATAATAATAATAATAATAATAATAAAAAAATTAATAATAATAATGATGATGATGATGAAAATGATATTAGAAATAAACAATTTAAAGAAATGAAAACCGACTCTTTTAAATTTCTGTTTTTGATGAAATTATAATAATTATAATTATTTTATTTAGTGGTTACGTTTGCCACCTTTAGACAAATCGTCACAACCTTTTCAGAACATATTCAGTATAACATGTACAATGTAGCAATAGATTGCTGGCATAATTCTTTGAACACATGGACAAAAATTTTATTGTTAGTGTTTTTGCATTATTTTATTAAATTATTTCTTTTAATAAATTTTGTATATAACTTTTAATAATTGAAATCGGTCCTTTCTCACATAGACTGTCCAACATGAGCGCCAATATGGAGCTTAATTTTATTTTTGACTAGAGCAAATACATTTAAACGGTTGGCAAATCGCTCCTTCCAAGATCACCCTTCTTGTGCTATACATGTAAGAACCTGGATATAATTTATAAACATGTACCAAAAATTATCAATATTACAAATAATACTGCTATTTTCTTTTCATAGTTGTTTTCTTACAAATAATTTAGAGAAATTTATTCAAAAAATAACGTATGCAAAATAATCCCCACCTTCCCCAGATCTTTGCATCAACAAGACAATACATTTCTCACCCGTGTTTTTACGTTTATTTGCAACTGTAGTAAGGTCCATTGGACAGATGGTTGGATTCCAGCTATATACTCCTGCTCAGTCGGGGGCTCTAGTTGTGTGAGGAACACAGGGAATCTCTCCACAGAGCTGGGCTCCAATCCTGTATTTGGTATTGCAGTGGGCCAGAGTGATAAGTTGTTCCTGTCCACCCTCCATAACCAGTCTCTGTATAAATCTAGTGATAGTCTAGAACTAACCAGTCTAGAAATACCCTCCTCAGAATCAAAGACATTCTTCCTGCTCAGTAAAGAAACAGCAATTAGTCAACCAACGGGTATGGAACCAAGGACAAAATAGTTTCAGTCAAGACATTCATTTATTATTTGTTTAAAACTATTTTTTTTCTTGTTTCATTGAAAAATAATATAATTTTTTAGTTTCTGAAAGTTCATACCACTCATGGATCGTTAATTACTAAAACTTTACAGACTGCATTTTTATTTCAGTTTCAACAACAAACCCATGTGCCAGAAATAAAGGAGGTTGCTCAGACATATGTGTTCCTCACTCAGATAATACATTTACCTGCGCATGCTCAGACGGGTCAGGGAAGATTCCAATTAGCCAAAGCTGCCAATGTTAGTTATAGCTTTTATTAGTAATAAGAAATAATGAAAAGTGCAAGACAATGCGCAGTATTTTATTCAATTTTCTTAATGTGAACACATTTGAAATTCTATTGCAGCACCCAGTCAGTTCCTCTTGTTTACTGATGTGTCGAGAGGAATCGTGGGAATGTCCAGTGTTAACAACCCCGATATGCAGACAACAATTTTGAGAGCAGTCAAACCATTAGCAGTTACTTATCACCTAGTGGAGAAAGTGAGTACTAATGAACTGGATAACCTGGGAAGCGGCTCTCTCAATTTTTATTGATTCGGAAAGTTCAAAGATCACTAATGTTTAAAGAACAAATGTAGTGACTGAAGGGTCTGAACGATCTCCGATATTTCAATATACATTTTTTCCCGTGCAGAATAAAATTCAAGATAATAAAAATGATAAATAAAAGATCAATTTTAGGAAAGACTCATAAAAATAACGTTTTTATGATGTCTTCTCTCAGTGAATAATAAAGGAAAACACCTATAAAATGGCATGAGTTTTTTTTTTTTAGTTTTATAAATAAAATATCTATATAAATCCTACAAGTCTTAAAAAATAATGCGTTGTTCGAAATTATATATACTTTTCCTCTTCGAATTCATTGAAGAAAACCCCCAAAGATGAAAACTGAGAAATGTCATCAAAATGATGTATACAGTTTCTATATGTCAATTTTTTATCGTCTTGAAGGATAGGAAAATTTCACAATAATAACACAACGGATGTTAGATCTTAACCATATTATATCTCTTCTTAGTAGAACTTTATTCAGATGTAATGTGGTACTTCACTTGCAGAAAGTTTACTTTGCGGATGCCCGAATGCGCGCCATCTACAAGTGCAATTTAGACGGAAGTGGTGTAGAGGCCCTGCTAAACAGTTCCCATGGAGTTGGTCAAGTCGAAGGTTTATAAAATTTATGATATTTCTTATGTAAATTATACATGCATTTCTTGCCATTATGATGTGGAAGGGAATGCTTTGACATGTTGGTACTAACTTGAAACACCTGAAGGAGCACGTTGCTTCCTCTATTGGAGGTTTCTGATGAATTCACCACAGAGGACTTTTCACTGGGAAAAAATCTTTTTTTTTTTTTACTTCTACAACTCTGAAAAACTGAACATTTGAAGAAAAAAAAATTTGTATTAATATTAAGAAATTCTTGACCCTATTATGAGTGTGAGTTCGTTTTCTGTGTCCAGCAGTTTCAAAAGTTGTCTTACACGTAGTATCGAAACGAAAGAACATTGCAATTTAACATTTAAAACATGTGCCACAAATAAAATATTTATCAAATGAATTTTGATAAAATTATATAATCAAATATAATTTTTACAAAGAAATTGTCATCAAAGGATTTTTTTTCGATTGTAATTATATTTTCATTTACCGGTTAACTGCCATATTACAAACTGCATTGCATATAAAGATGCCTCTGCAGAAAACATTCTATAAGAAAAATAATCCAAAAAATGCTCAAAAGTTTTTAACAGAATTTTCAAACAGTCTTTAATGTTAAAAAATATTTGTGGTAAAACTTCTCATGACGCGATGACCGGTCGCCATAGCCAAGTTTTAGGGCGCTCGCTTCGAGATGGGGAGTTACCAGGATTTCGTTCCTGGCGCCGCGTCCAACCTTAGACGCTTAACGTAGGTAGTAACTGTTCCTTTGCCAAGAGCCCTGCACTAGAAATGAAATTTCGGATGAGACTGTCCCATGTCACGGTTAGCGTTGGCATGATAAAGAACCCTCACTGCTCGATGCCCCCGAGTGCTGAGCAAAAGTTTAAATTTGAAGCTTTTCACAATTATTTGGTGACGTCTTACGAATGAAAAATCCTCAAAAGGAAGTAAAACAACGTAAAAAAAGAATCAATATATTAATCAATCAATATGACGCGATGAATTATACTGCATGCCGAAAATCAGGGACAAAAGTATTTCTGAGTCAATAAGTATCATTATATTAGTAATAAAAAGTAATGAAAAGCAGAACAATGCTTTTGAAGAATTAAATTAAATAAACATCGTCAATGTGGGCCTCTTGTTGTATATTCGATCAATATGTTATGTAAATATATTAAGTGATCAGTATTCTTAAGACTGCTGTTATTTCAGAAAATTGAATTTAAAACTTTTGTAATGTGCTTTAGATTCTTTGAAATTATAGCAAATTTGAATATAAAGTAAAATAAAGCAGAGCAATTTATTGCTTTGTAATACAAAGATTTAATAGCACACAACAAAATTTTGCTTTGAGTGTTTTGGTTATTACGGTTACGGAGATGGGAACCTTTTAAAGAGGTTTGAAATGAAATATATGGAGATAACGAACAGTATTCAAGCTCAAAAGTCCATTATACAATACAAAATAGGAGCAGAGCAAACACGGACCTCCAAACATCAGAGGTGCGAGCATCCCCTGCCGACCGGTCACACCCGCCGTGTGCTCCTTGTCATGATCGGGAAATAACGGAAAAATCCGTCGACAATTCAATGTGTAAATAATGGCCTAACAATTAGTATGAAAAACGTCAGTCAGCATTTGACTCAATGATAAATTGTATTTGCTGACAAGGTCATTGTATCGACCATAGAACTTACGAAATGATGACTTTAGACGAGACAGCTGATATTCTTGTTTCATCAACTTATTTGTCAATAATTTACCTCGTTTTAGAAAATGTACATGCGCAGAGCATGCTCTTGCGTATCGAATCAACTGAGAGATATATACCCCGTATGCAGGTGATGAAGGTATATTGCTGCATAAGTAAGGGAAGTTGACGATTGAAAAGTTAAAGTCATCACGTTTATCATAAAGCTTGGTTGTTAGATTACCATTAACGTCTTTTTCAAGTAAAATATCCAAATTTGAAACAGATGTGTCGGACTCTGTGGTATCTTTTATCTCAAGTTCACCAGGATATATCGTATCGACATAAGAATGAAAATAGCCATTGTTAATTGACAATACGTCGTCGATATATCTAAATGTCGAGTTGAACGCCACAGCAAGTGATTTCTTCTTTTCACGTACAAGTTTTTGGACAAATTCTGCTTCATATGAATACAAAACAGGTCTGCTAATAACGGGGCGCAATTGGTACCCATAGGAATTCCAATAGATTGTTGGAAGACCTGGTTTACAAAAACCACATAGATATTGTCAATCAGAAACTCAAGCATCTTTTTAATGTCAACTTCAGAGTACTTGTGTGTACAATCAGAATGTTTTTTAACAAAATAATTTTGCAAATGACCAATGACAAAGTAAGTATATTTACGAGTTCCATTTTTATTGAAAAAGCAGCTGTCAATGATATCAAAAAGCCTGGACTTTAATTTATCGTGGGGAATGGTTGTGTATAAAGTTGAAAAGTCGTAAGTTTTTAAACTGTTGATTTTGGTAAAATCTTGTGATTTCTAGCTTTGGATTTTGACTTTGTGTGAAAGGACATTAATAGTTAAACTTACTTATGTCAAAGGCGTCGTAGATGTAGAAAAGTAATGAAAAGTAGAACAATGCTTTTGAAGAATTAAATTAAATAAACATTGTCAATGTGCGCCTCTTGTTGTATATTCGATCAATATGTTATGTAAATATATTAAGTGATCAGTATTCTTAAGACTGCTGTAATTTCAGAAAATTGAATTTAAAACTTTTGTAATGTGCTTTAGATTCTTTGAAATTATAGCAAATTTGAATATAAAGTAAAATAAAGCAGAGCAATTTATTGCTTTGTAATACAAGGATTTAATAGCACACAGCAAAATTTTGCTTTGAGTGTTTTGGTTATTACGGTTACGGAGATGGGAACCTTTTAAAGAGGTTTGAATTTCTTTCTAGCTTTGGATTTTGACTTTGTGTGAAAGGACATTAATAGTTAAACTTACTTATGTCAAAGGCGTCGTAGATGAGCCGATAATATGTTGAGTGCCTCCGTATAGGCTTAATATCGAGGAGATAATATCGAAGTCCATGAGAGGTGGTGTTTGAAGTCTGAATGGGACATATATGTACTTGTATTAATGAGGAATATTAGAAGCTACTGCTTGTCACGAAGGGTGCACATGCACTGGGAGTTTGACTCAAATCTTGCTTGAGATAATTTGAACAAGATCAAGGTTACATGGAGAACAAGCTTAAATTCACGTTCCGTAAGGATGAACGCCGTACATGTACGATGAATTTTAGTGTGTGAAAATTTCAAGAACTTTATGTTTGACAATATTTATATACATCCTACCCTGTCATATCGAATACAGAATATATTTCATCAGTGGGATATACTCTTGGCAAAGACATTGATATGACATATGATCATTGTATGCACACACTGTTTCTACTTCGATAATCTGTCGAATAACGTGATCGGAAGGTTGTCCCGGCGCCGCGTCAAACCTAGGTTGTATAACATAGGATGTGACCGTTTCTTTTTGTCAATATAATTCGCGGTATAATTAGCAGTGAAAGTCACGGGACTTTCGGATATAACCTTAAAACGTAGGTCCCTTGACAGAGTAGGCGTTGGCTACCCTCACTGCTCGATAATCCTGACTGCCGAGTATAGGTTTAATTTGAAGCTCTTCACCGGTATATGGTGACGTCTAATATTTTTCTCATATGTATGAGAAAAAAATTTCAAAATCAATCAATCAATCAATCGAAAACTATCACACATTGAAAACAAAAAATTTTCTCACACGTACAGTTCGATCTTCGTCATGTTCACAACCTTTGGTATAAAGCCGCTTTTTTAGGTCACCTGAGTCACTCAGGTGATCTATTGCTATCCGTTCTCGTCCGTCGGCGTGCGTCGTGCGTTAACATTTGAACATTTTAGCTTCTTCTCTGAAACCGATTAACCAATTTCAACCAAATTTGGCATATAGCATCTATGGCTGAAGGGGAACACAAATTATGAATTTCATGGTCCCTGCCCCCCCCCCCCCGGGGCCTGAGGGGTGGGGCTAAAACCACCAAAAATAATGCAATCTCTAAAAATCTTCTTCTTTACTCTTGGACATCAAGAAGTCAAACTGTTGGCATCATTGTAATAAGCATTGAGCCCTCTACCAAAATTGTGAAATTCATGGCCCCAAGGTCGGGGGTTCTGGCCCCAGGGTGGGGCTATATAGATCATATAGTGAAAGTGCATTATTTCTTTGAAAATCTTCTTCTCTGTTCCTGGTTATTAAATAAAGTAACTAAGTACATAGTTATGATGAGCAAGAGTGCCTCTTCCAAAATTGTGAAATTCATGGCCCCAGGGTCAGGAGTTCTGGTGTTAGGGTGGGGCTCTATTGATTATATAGTGAAAAAGCATTAATTCTTTGAAAATCTTCTTCTCTGCTCCTGGGTATTATTTAAACAAACTAAGTGCATAGTTATGATGCATAAGGATGCCTTTTCAAAAATTGTGAATTTCATGGTGCCACGGTCAGGGGTTCTGGTGTTAGGGCGGGGCTCCATTGATTTTATAGTGAAAATGCATTGATTCTTTGAAAATCTTCTTCTCTGCTCCTGGGTATTAAATAAAGTAACTAAGTACATAGTTATGATGAGCAAAAGTACCTTTTCAAAAATTGTGAATTTCATGATCCCAGGGTCAGGGGTTCTGGTGTTATGGCGGGCCTCTACTGATTATGTAGTGAAAATGCATTAATTCTTTGAAAATCTTCTTCTCTCCTCCTGGATATTTAATAAAGTAACTAAGTACATAGTTATGATAAGCAAGATTGTTCTCTTCCAAAATTGTGAATTTCATGGCCCCAGGGTCAGGGGTTCTGGTGTTAGGGCGGGGCTCTATCGACTATATAGTGAAAATGCATTAATTCTTTGAAAATCTTCTTCTCTGCTCCTGGGCATTAAGGTGATAAACTAAGTACATAGTTATGATGAGGAGGTGGGCCTCTTCCAGAATTGTGAAAGCCATGGTCCCAGGGTCAGGGGTTCTGGTGTTAGGGCGGGGCTCTATTGATTATATAGTGAAAATGCATTAATTCTTTGAAAATCTTGTTCTCTGCTCCTGGTTATTAAATAAAGTAACTAAGTACATAGTTATGATGAGCAAGAGTGCCTCTTCCAAAATTGTGAAATTCATGGCCCCAGGGTCAGGGGTTCTGGTGTAAGGGCGGGGCTCTATTGATTATATAGTGAAAAAGCATTAATTCTTTGAAAATCTTCTTCTCTGCTCCTGGGTATTATTTAAACAAACTAAGTGCATAGTTATGATGCATAAGGATGCCTTTTCAAAAATTGTGAATTTCATGGTCCCAGGGTCAGGGGTTCTGGTGTTAGGGCGGGGCTCTATTGATTATATAGTGAAAATGCATTGATTCTTTGAAAATCTTCTTCTCTGCTACTGGAGATTATTTAAACAAACTAAGTGCATGATTATGATAGGCAAGGATGCCTCTTCCAAAATTTTTAAATATATGGCCTCAGTTTTTGGGGTTCTTGAGGAGGGGGGGGGGCTCTATTGATTATATAGTGAAAAAGCATTAATTCTATTAATTAATCATTAATTAATCCTGTCTGCTCCTTATTGTTTAGCTGATAAATAAATTGCTTTGCTTAGCTATGATGAAAATGGCAGCTTCGAGCAGAATTTTTAAATCTTGTGGTCCTAGGGTCAGGGGTTCTGGCATAACGAGGGGGGGGGGGGGGGGGGGGCTTTTGATAATATAGTGGAAAAGTGTTAATTCTTTGAAGTCCATAGTTATGATGATGAGGGTAACTCTTCCAATTTTGTAAATTTCTTGACCCTTGGTCTTGGGTTCTGGTGTTAGGGTAAGGCTTTGTTGAATCTGTAGTGAAAATGCATTGTACCTGTGAAATTCTTCTCTGCTTCTGGGCATATCGGAAGCAAACTGAGTAAAAGTTTAAATGATATAAGTAAGCGTATTTCTACCTGATTTTTGAACATCTGGACCATTTGTCTAAGCATTCTGGTCCTGGGCAGGGCTCTATCAATTTGTATTCTACTGAGAGAAGTTATTCCCCTTTTCCATTCATCTTTGATAATTAATCACTGTAAATAATGTATTTGAAAGGTTAATAGAATAAGATAATTATGCAAGAATTGTTATAGTATAAATCAAAAAGTACTTTCTTAGTTTTAATAATCAGGTAGACCTGTAAGTAATAGATAAATAAAAATGAGACAAAAATAACATCTTATTAAAAGTTCTTCAAAGACCATAAGAGAGGTCAATGCTAGAGGTCTTAATATGGGTTTAAAAATAGTACAGAAGCACTAATAGTTTGTTAATAGTCTGCATGGTGATAGTGTTAAGTGGGGGGGGGGGCAGATTAGAACTTAATTTATGAGTTGATATTGAATACTAGACTAATTGTTTGTGATCCTGATCTTCCTACTTCTCTTGCTTTAGGGCAACAAAGTTTCATCTATCAGTGTATTTAACTTCTAAATTGTTGTATTATACTCAGGTGACCGTTAAGGCCCTTGGGCCTCTTGTTTAAGTGCAGCAGGACCTTCCAATATTTTTCAGTATTTATAAACGGTATTGCCATGACAAATATTTCTGTGGACATTTCTTTAATTACACATTATCTTTGTGATGAAGAAGAATTTTTGTTTCAGTTTGCGTTTGATGCTTGTTTTTCAGACTCGATTCTTTAGATTGTTGTTTCGTATTTGCCTCCACCCAATAAAATTCATTGTACGCGTATCATGTTGTAAATTTTGAATTTACTGGTTGCTGTCAAATGTTTAATTTATAAATAAATGCGAGAAATTGATTTTCTACAAGTAAGCATAGATTTGTGTTAGCCTTTTCTGAATGTGCTTTATTTGAATATATATACACAAGACAATTAACGAATATACACAAGACAATTAACGATGTACTTGATTTGGCGGAAACTGCTATCCGCGAAAGACGCTAAAATAGGAACAGAGCCGAATTTAGTAAGTTAACATTAATAGTTTTTGATTTTCCAAATTTTGAATTTCAAACAGGTTTATCTATCGACTACAATCAGAATCGCCTTTACTTTTCCAACATGGGATTCGAGGAATATTCTGGGGTTGTTAGGTCGTGGCATGCTATAGAAATGATAGACCTCGGAACTCGCAAAAGAAGAACCATTGTGACAGAAGTTGAGAAACCCAGGGCTCTTCTTGTGGACTCGGCTAATAGGTAAGTGCTGCTTGGAAAATAAATAATTTTCAACGTGTACTAAAACAACTTCTTGCATAAATATTCTGTATCGAATTTCATGATTTTAGATTGTATTGGACCCTGCACAATATTTCCCATTCTACCATTCTGTTAACTACAACAGTATTGTAATAACCCCTTCCCCTGAAAAGCGAGGGTATATAGTGGTGGGGATGTCCGTCTGTACGTCTGTCTGTCCGTCTCTTACACTTTGGGGTACCCATCTCTTATACCACTGAATAAAATTTAATGAGACTTTCACAGAATCTTTGTTATATATTGCCAGTGTGCACCTTCTATTTAACTTTTTGATCGGACATCGGACATATATTTCGGGTTTCCCATGGCAAAACATAGACACTGTAATTCTTTCTATAATATTGGGGGTACCAATCTCTTGTCCGCAACTCCTCCTATACCACAGAATAAAATTTAATGATACTTTCACAGAATCGTTATTGCATAGTGCCATTGTGCTCCTTTTAATTTTACGTTTTGATCGGGCACATATTTCGGGTTTCCCATAGCAAAACATGGACACTGTCATTCATTTTATAAAATCGGGGGTATCTCTCTTATCTGCAATCCTCCTAAACCACTAGATAAAATTTAATGATACTTTCACAGAATCTTTATTACACAGTGACATTGTCCCCCTATTTTACTTTTTCATTTGACACATATTTCAGGTTTCCCATAGCAAAAAGTAGACACTGCCATTTTTTTTTTATAATATCAGGGGTACCCATTTCTTATCCGCAAATCCTCCTATACCAGTGAATAAAATTTAAAGATACTTTCCCAGAATCTTTAATACATAGTTCCATTGTGCACCTTCTACTCAATGTTTTGATTGGACAGATATTTGGGATTTGGCATAGCAAAAAAATGGACTGATATGGTAACGGGGTGTATTATTTTGTGAGCTCAGTGCTCACAGTCAGTCTAATTTAAACTCTGTCATTTCCATTTACTAAAAAAACCTACTAGTATATTCCATTAGAGAAATGGTCATTTTTACCATACATTTAAGCAAGCGACTCCTAATTTACGACATTGCTTTTTTCAGATTGCTTTACTACACGGACTGGGGCACCACTGGTCACGTGGGCAAAGTACAATTAGATGGATCCAATAGGGAGGTCCTATTTACCGCCGAGAACCCTAATGACCTGGCCATCAGTGATAACAAGTTACTGGTCATCAACAACAAAAGTCCTACCCCGGAGATGATAGAACTAGATCTTTCGAGCAGTGCCCTGACTAAACGTCCACTTAGTGGCGTTGTAAGTACCAAAAAGACCCTCTTCTCAATGAAAAATCAGGAATTCAAAAGAAACTTTTTAAAATTTCAAATGTTCTATGTCAAAATATATTTTAAATGGATGTTGCATAACACAAGTCTTTGGCATAGAAAAATAATCATTAACCTTGTGTACATATGACACGTAAGCCGAATACACATATACTGATTATTTATTGAACTTGTATATGTTTCTTTTGTATCCTAATTCCAGGTATAAACTTTTGAGACATCATAAATAAATACTTTAAGGTTTTTGAACAATCTTGCAGAAGACTTTTATTACTTACTAAAACCTGAAATAATCAAAATTAAAACAATCGAACACATTGAAAAATTGTAAAACTATGACTGATAAAGATGTACCATTTGTTGTTTTTAGGAACCACTATCATTGGCCGTATCAGGAAATAAGCGGCTGATCAGCTCATTCAGTGGTGGTATGAAAATCTACACAACAAGTCTAAGTCTTTCTTCCAGCTCGAACGTCGGTCAGTTCACTCGAATGTCCATTGTCGACACTACAGTAACAAAGCAGCCAGGTATCTTAAGTTCTCAATAAGAACATTCTCATTTTAAAGACATCGTTCTGAGTAAATTTTTCAAGTGTTGAGTCTTGTATGTGTTTTTGTTGTAGATGGAGGGTTATGCTCGTCATCAAGTTCATGCTCTGATATTTGTGTAACGTCACCAAATTCCAACTATCTTAGCTGTCTGTGTCCATCAGATCAGTTCAACATACAGACTAGTGATCGTCTATCATGTCAAAGTAAGCAACACATATACACAAACCTTGCAATAAGTCAGTATAGAAGCCAAAATGCCTGTCTGTAATTATTCAGTAGTAACAGCGGTGTTTTTTAATTCTTGTTTTATACTGTCTAGGAGATGTCATACTAAATGTAGAAGTATACTGAAGCACTGAGCTCACAAAATGATACCTTCCGTTCCCATATCAGTATAATGCCAAAGACCATGTTATGCTATGGAAAACCCTAAATATCTGTTTTACCGAAATATAAGAGGTGCACAATTGCATTATGTAATAAAGATTCTGAGAAAGTCTCACTAAATTTTATTCAGTGGTATAGGAGGAGTTGCATATAAGAGATGGGTACTCCCAATTTTATAGAAATAATGGCAGTATCCATGTTTTACTATGGGAAACCCAAATTATCTGTCCGATTAAAACGTAAAATAGGAGATGCACAATGCCATCATGTAATAAAAATTACATGAATGTTTCATTTAATTGCATTGAAGTGGTGTAAGAGGAGTTGCAAATAAGGAGTGGCTATATTTCCCCAAAGTTTAATGGACGGACGCCCCATCACTATATATTCCCCTCTTTTCAAGCGGGAGGGGGGAGTACGATAACTAATCATCAATTGGTTGATAACAAGGTGATGGCAAAAAATGATTCCTATAAAAACAGAGTTATTGAGCACACACTTCAGACTTTAAGCCTAATTTTATTTATTCAGACATAAAGGGTATGAAGCAGTCTCGATATTTAAAAAAAATTGTAGAGCGTCCAGTTAACCTTCATTGAAGCTTTAGAATACCAATTAATGGTAAAAACAACAGACCCGTAGGAAGCAATTTCGGGGGAGGGGGGGGGCACATACCATACATCTTCAGTTGGGGGGGGGCACTATCAACTACCAAACATTCCTTGACAAGCAAAAAAAGGTTATCAGACGTTATTATTGAGGGGGCACAAGCATATGGTAGCTGTTTTCTATATATATATATTCTATATATTGGCAAAATTATTGGGGGCACGCCCCCCCCCCCCTCCCCGTGTCCCCCCGGTTCCTTTGGCCAGAATTCAGATCCTTAATAGTATACATGTACGTTTTGTATAATTATTATAATACAGTATTTTCATATGTAAAAAAATTAAATTTATAATGTTTTTAAATCGACAATACCTAAAAATTGATAGGACAAAATAAATATATTTAACTACAGAGCCAGAGATTTACTTGTTGTTTGCCGATATTGACGGAATCAAAATGGTTACACAGGGAACCATGAGAGATGACCACGTTTATACCATTATTCACCCTAGTGAAAGCTGTAACCATTTTTATGGTCTTGTCATTGACAGGAGCAAGGAGTACATTTACTTCAGTGCATTACAAGGGTGCGTAAAGAAATAGACACTTTTACAAAAATGCTTATTTTAGATATATAGGTATGTAGGTAATATCTTTATTAAAGTATTTCAAAATTTGCATATCTATTAAGAATTAAAAAAATAATCTACAAGCTTTTTGGTGTAGAAATTCCATTTTCCGAGCCAAAGTCGATGGTTCCAATATTGAAAAATTTGTAACCGACGAGAACAGCAAAATTACCAATTTGGCTATAGTTGGAAACGACCTCTTCTGGACCTCTACAAACACCACTGATAACTCCACGGGGTCTATTGTTCACTGTAACACGGCTAATACCGACAGAACCGTCGCTGTGTTGTTTCCCACGGCATCGGAACCGTTGGACATTGCAGCAGACGAAAGGTAAAATGGCACTGGTATTTTGTCATGCACATGATTCTTAAGTAGAAGTTTATGCATGGAATATCAACAAAATTAAGTTTGACGAATGTTGCGAACAACGTACATGTAATGGTATTTTCAAACATTCAAATTGTAGCAGAAATGAAGGTTTAATGAAACAAATGTATGATACAGTGCTATCAAGCATCAATGTGAGATGTATTTCTGCTTAACAGTAACATCTACTGGACAGAGAGAGGTAGCTCTGGAATTAAGAGGTACGATAGGCGTACATCAATGGAACTAAGATCCGTTACCAGTGCTCGGACAGCGGCTATTGCCCTCACTGATCCCTCCAGGCACCTCCTCTATGCCACAGACTCCAATGTCAAATTAAGACGATTTCCTACTATACAAGATGGTAATCTATGGTTGAGAAGCGTTTTTGTTTTTAGGAATACTATTATCCTTATTTTGACGAAACTTTCAGTCTGAAAAGTCTTTTCATTTATGACATGGTGTCTAAATCTTCCCTATGATTATATATATATATATATATATATATATATATATATATATATATATATATATATATATATATATATATATATATATATATATATATATATACGAGGGTTGTTCGGAAAGTTCGTGGACTATGCCAATCTTCGTTAAACTATCTTCAAGGAATTTAAAATGAGCAATTATCGTATGTTAAGATTTTTATTTTGTTTAAGTGTGAAGTTTCATTCCATGCATATATATTCCTTATAATTTAAATGTAAGTATTTGCAGTTTGAGTGTAAAAATCCTGTTATTTTCTTTAGTTTCTTTTCTGACTGACACTATCAATGAGGCAGATGCGCAATCTCTGATGGCTACGAGTAAGTTTTTGTATCTGTCCAGATGGAGAGACAACAGCACTGGATCTGTGTTACGTCATAATCTTCTGACGAAAACAACAGAGCTTATAACTAATGCTGCGGTACGACCAGGGCAGATGGTGTATATATCAAGTCAGACATCATTAGTACAAGGTGACATCTATGTAGAAATTAAAGATTTTTTTTAAAAAACTTATTTTGATTTTAACAAAGACACTTTTTTATGAAACATAACATACCAAAGAAAATGTTCATAAATGGTGCTTTATAATATGTGGACTATATTAATATGTATGACCAGAGTTAATTATTTCAAAGACCAAATGCTCTTGTCTTGATCTAAATGCTACCATTACTTCATATTTGCAGATAAACCCGGAAATTGTCCCTCTGCACTGTCATGTTCCAACATATCTGCATGTTCTTTGGATGTCGACTGTTATGGCAGCAGTAAATGTTGTGGAACGAGCACCTGTACAAGGTGTACTACTCCAGAAAAAGGGAAAGACTGCAGTAAAAATGGCATTTATATACAGGTGGGTGTGAAAATACTACTTAATTACCAAAGTAGATTAAATGATTATCATATGTGATCTCTGATTGATGAATTTCAAGATAACGAAAGTGATTATTCTGAAACGTTCCATGCAAATTAAAAGCAGAGTAAACACGAACCTCTGAAAACAGAGGTGGGGGTTAGGTGTCATGGAGGAGTAAGCACCTGTTGCCGATCGATTACACCCGTCCTGTGCTACTTGTCATGATTGGGCAAACGAAAAAATCCGTAGACAATTCAGCGTGAAAATATCAGCACACAATCTGTATGAAAGAGTCAGTCAACATTCCACCCAACAACAGACTGTATTTGGAAACAAGGTCCCTGAATTGACCATAACATTTTTGAAATGTTAACTTTAACCGAGACTGTTGATATCCTTGTATTATCAACTTATTTGTCAATAGTTTGTCTCGTTTAAGAGATGGTGTAGGTAGAACATGGTCTTGCGTGTCATATTAAATGGAAAACATAAACTCCATGCGCAGTTATAATAGTATATTGGTACATAAAAAGGGACGTTGACGATAGAAAAATTGACGTAATCAAGTTTATCATAAAGTTTAGTTGTCAGTTTGCGGTCAAAATCTTTCTCTACTGACTTCGTGGTCTTAAAAAAGTCCAAATACGCTTGCTGAATACAGAGAACTGTTTGCTATTTAAATGGCCATACATTTGTGTCTGCCTGGTGAATTGGTCAGCGTTGAGCTGGAGATTTATTGTGGAAAGTGTTCAAATCATGCTCTGATGTTTTGATTTTTTGTTTTGATTTACTTTAATTTATAATTAAATTGAATTGTTGCTACAGGAATAAAACATTTTTCACTGAGAGTAAAATTTATTACGTGAGTTGGTCCAAAAGTAATGTAACAACTGCTCTAAAATCTTAAATAATCAAAAGTTTACATAATACATGTAATACCTTAATCTATTCATTCAGACGAATGCAAAACTTTATAAAACATTAAAATAAACGTTGGGCCTCGTCTATCGCAGCACGGCAAGAAGATACCGACGTCGTTATGACAATTCTCCTCGACACTCATTCTGACTCTGAAGATTCATTAAATTTACGCAAAACGGAATGAATTTAGAGATAACAATAGCACAAAGTTTATGTAATTTTAATAAAACTCAAAGCAAGATGTTTTATAGCAAAATAGCAGTAAGGGTTATTTAAACGACACAGGTGAGAAGTTAAAAAGATAAAAGAACTTCGAAAAGTTCACAAATTGGAAGTTTTTAAATTGGAACATAAGACTCATCTTTTTAAAAAAGCCTTTACTTGAAGTGAAGAGTGTACATGTATATACGTATGGCTTGTTTTAATATCAACGTGACTGTATTTTCAGAATGTCTTACTATTTTATAGGTGATATAAGATTGTTTTAGTCTTCCTTTTATTATGTAGACTGTTATATCTATGTAAAGCGCTTTAGAGTTCACATAAGATAAGGCGCTATATAAAATTTTAATATTATTATTATTATTATATGCGGATGAATTGAAAATGAGTGCTGAAAAGTAACGTTATAACGGTGTCGGTAACATTCTTGCCGTGTGGCGATAGACAAAACCAAAGGTTGTGTTTATCTTAATATTTTAAAAAGCAAATTTAAATAATCAAATAAAATTTTAGGGCAAAAATCAAAATAGATCGGGACAGTAGTATGTCAAATTTTTTCGATAACACCTGATTATTAAAGATTTTATAGCAGTTGTGACATTGCATTTGAATCAACTCTAGTAAATAATTATGAACCAATTTACAATAAATTACATGTATTAAAATTATACTAAATATTGGAATAAGGGTATTCCCGTTTTTATTTATTTCACTATTTGCGCTTTAAAGCCAAAAGATACCACTTTAATTATATATACATTAATAATATATAAACAGTACTTGTTAACAATGTACAGATTACAGAATAGAAGTCACCACCTGTGTTAGACATTCTGTGGGAGAAAATGCAAGGATAAGTGTTTAGCTTGTTTAGAATCACCATTTTGACAAGTACTGTACACATTCAAATGCCTAGGTATATTCGTACAACTAAGATATTTTATATAACTATATGTACTTGCATAGGATAGCCGCAAAACGGGCGTGGACATTTGGCTCTGATCAGATTGGCACCTGCTTTGTCAGCTGGAACCAATACATATTGATCATGTAATGTACATGTATCTAATTTTTTTTCACTTCTGAATTGCTGAAAGAAGAAAATTTGGTTTTCAGTTTGACCCTCGACAAATTAACACGAGATTTCAACATCCATCTTGTTCTTTTAATCTATCCTGAGAAAGTGTTAAGGTCTTTTTCAAAATTGACCCATCGTCTGGCATAATCTTTGAAAGAATTCATAATTTTTATGGAATTCTGTCGCTAGTAATAAGAGCGAATTCCCTAAAGTTTGGATCTTTTAAAATAATACAAATTAACAGGTATCTGTATTTTATACTTCTCGTCTACGTTAAACTATTAACAGCTTTGAATACAGCTAAACTTGAATCGAAATTAAATACTACAGAGTACTACAAACATAACTCTTCAACTTTCCTGAAATGTGAAGCATTTAGCTATAACAGAAAGTTCCACTGAAAATCTAAAAATAAAAATTACTATTGTCTATTGTACCTATACATATCTGAGATATGGGGTACACCACTGGTTTGTTTCTAAGATTCTTGGGTATTGTAGGCGAACATCAGAGTCATCAGGCTGAGGCCAAGACTCAGTCGTTACACGTGAAATGACACTTTTAACAATTAAGTTTGAAATATTAAAGGTTATATCAATCAGATGGAAATACAGAACTCATACATAAGCACAATATTTATTTATAGAACAATGGTGACGTCGTAGTGGTGGATTGTGAGAGTTGTTCCTGCATTAACAGCAATCTGACCTGTACACCTCTAACATGTCCAGACCTTGGGTCTTGCCCTGCTGATAATCAAGTGAAGCCTCCCGGATCCTGCTGTAATGAATGTACAGGTAACACATTAACAGTTTATTAATTGACAATAGCTTATTTTGTATTGCTCACTGATTTAAAACTTTTCTTAAAAACTACTTTTAAATTTTCAGCAACAATTGTCTGTTCCAGTCCACGTAAGTAAAGACATTATGGAGTATGAAAAATTATGGATTTTTAATTTTTTTTAAAATTTAATTCTATTTATTTATTTATTTTTTGCTTTGAACTTTTTCGAACAAGTTTCTATTTTATATTTTAGCCACAATAGAAAACTGCCCAACCTCCACCGTGAGAATGCTGTTACCAGCCGACAATGACACAGTAGATATCTTTCTGCACAATATTGTCCCGGAATCGACTTATGGCAAAAGTTGTTCAGGCCAAAAGTTGGATTTAAAACTCACAACCACTTCCATAAAATGGAAAAGAAATGTACAACCTGTTGTTATTACTGCAACAGACAAACATGGCACTGCTACATGTAGTGTAAATGTGCATGTCATTGGTAAATAAAAATTGTTTGTGTACCAATTTATCACGTCTATCTTGTAAATAGTATTTTGTTTCTTTTCAATAATTACATTGTATGAATTATTTTAAAGACAATTTCATTAATGTGAAGAATTCAATTCTACTCGAGATTAATTTTTTCTGAACATTGAACGATTTTAGTCTGTGTGTTTGTATGTTTTAGATAATACTATGCCAGCTTTATCTTGTCCAAGTGGAACTCTTCAGATGTACATAACAGAAAACAGCAAGACGGTGACATGGCCACCTGTTACTGCTAGTGATAATTCGGGATTCGTCACCTTGACCTCAAACACGGAGAATGGCGTAGATCGAGCAGTTGGTTTACATGAAATTCGTTATGAAGCTAGGGATCAGTCTGGCAACATGAAGCAGTGCTTATTTTCTGTGAATGTCATAAAGCTTTTAGGTAACTCAGTAGCAGTGATTTTATATATCTGAACATATTTACAGAGATATACAAATGCACATCTTGTAACAGAATAGAAAGAATTCCATAGCAGATTAACGGAGGAGAACAGCAAATGGAAACTATTAATTACTAATAAAAAAGGAACACTTTGGGTGAATAATACATAGTCCTGTAGTGTCAATGCGTTCAATATGTTTAGCCAAATTCAAAAATGTCCTCTACTTTTGAACATAAGTATAATAAATAAAGGACCCTATAACAAAAGTTTGAAATGAATCCCCCCCCCCCTGGGTTCAGGCTTGAGGGTGGTGCTGAGTTGCTCAAATAATAAAAATATATCAGCCATTTTAAAATTTCCTTCAGTCGTGACCTGTTATTTAAAGTGTTTGTATGAAAGCAATGGTACTTAACCTTTTACCAAAACTGTAAAAAAAAAAATTACCCTCTGGGTACATGGTTCAGGCCTAGGGATTGGCTTTGTTGGACATAAATTGAAAGTATATTGTGTCTTTGAAAATCTTCTTCTCTACTCATGGGCATTAAACAGGCAAACTATTCACTTGGTTATAATGAAAGTCAGTCTGAATTTGACAAAAAGGGATGCACAAATATAATTACTGTTCAATAACAATAGAAATACGTCTTTAGCATTCAGAGTGATTGACAAACTTTGATACGCAAGAAAAAAAAACAATAGATCATGTTAAAATTTAAGTTCAATTTTTTCATTATTTTCTTAATTTGTCCAACGACACTATTTATTTTCCTAGGAGATATTTTATTGTGCATCTCCTTTTAGTGTATACAAGTGAACAACTTTATGAAGCCAATGAGGAAAAATTTCTGCTTTATATGTTAGATAAGAGTAAACATTTATTATCACAGGCTGTGAGAATCCCCCGATTCCCTTTAATGGTCTCTTAAGATGTAATGATGCTAAAACACTAACATGTGAGTTGGAGAAATGCAACGATGGTTACATCAGCTCTATTTCAAACCTTCAAAGCCATGCCTGTGATCAAACAAAAGGACAATGGGTACCTTCTTTTCCCGACAATTTTAGCAACGTTTGCATTAGTAAGTATCACAGTACTTTAGAGAATTCTTTGTTTGACCTGTAAATTTATATGTATCGAAAACATGCAGTTGTCTTTAGGTCTGGTAATGCACCTCACAAATATGTATGTTTTAAAGAGATGTGATTAAAGAAGCATTCCAAAGCAACTTTGATTTAACCATCAAGTTATCGAATACTTTAATAATCTTTTTCAGAACCTGGACCTTCAATTATTCAGCGAGAATACATATTTGAGTTCGATTGCCCAAACTCGGAATTTGACGCAGGGGACTTGAGAGATTGTATTTCAGATGCTCGTTTGTGTCCAGTTGACGACATTACACTTTGTGACCGACCTTTTAAGAGAATTGGGAGCGCTTCTGTTAGTGGGAGTCTACTGAACATCACAATGAGAATGGAAGGCACTCTACCGTATGTGTCACTTTCTCATCAAAACCATATTGCACTAATGCTAAGTTACATAAGAAACAAACTAGTGTACCTTCCTACCTGAGCAAGAAACAGAGACTACTGGGAAATAATTGTTTTCATGCAAGAATATTCATTTTACCAGATATGAAAATGATACCTTCATTCTTTTTCAAACCCTCTTAATGACATTTTATTTTTCTAATCAAACATAATATCTTATAAACCAATATTATAATCAACATAAGATTAAACTTTTTAAAATAAGATATATACAACAATGATCATTTTCGAATTAACATCCCATCGTCATATACTGAAGTATATGTTCAAACATAATATAATAGTAATAATAAGTAAGGGTTACAAACTGTCCCCTTATGCGCATTTTAATTAGGTGGTCATTTACTAAAATATAAATATTATGTTTTTCATTATTGACTACCTTAATAAATTGGTGTAGTTGTTTATTGTTAATCATGTCTGTAGGCATGGTGGAGACAAAAGCAGTCTTGTAAACAGAATGACTGCTGCCGGTGCAGCCATTGAGATGTTCTTTCAGACAGGTACTTTCAAAACGAGATGTCCAAAAATATTTTGCCCGTTCAAGAAGGCCTTAGCCAAGACAGATACAAGGACTTGTGAAGTTGGTTCTGTGGTGTACAATGTTGCAAACCAAGATATATGTGGTATGTTTATTTAAGCCCAACCTAATTGTGGACATACATTGCATATATAAAATGAAAAGGAAGCTGCTGCTGAATGTGTATGCCTCATTAAAATATAACACCTTAAAAATGATTAGCACTTTTGTTTTGCAGCCCCTTGTCCAGCTGGTTGGTACTATGAGAACGGCAAATGCACAGAATGCTTACCCAATACCTACCAGGATCGACCGGGTCAAACATCCTGCAGGGCCTGCCCAGATGGAACCATTTCTTCATCTGGCTCTTTTCTCGATTCGCACTGTATGTCAGAATTCAGTTTCACGTATTATAATTATTATATACTGTATGTGTGTTGAATAGGCACATTTTTTCTGATGATTGAACAAAGTATAACTTTTGTAAGATAAGATCAGCTCATGAAAGATGTGTATTTAAGTTTATTCACTTACAATTAAATTTTCAGGCAAAGCTATGGAGAAATTACAGGATCCCCGGCAGTCTCAGGATAATATGCTCGTGATTATTGTAGCAGTGGTGGTCGTAGTGATATTGATCCTAGTAGTTATCGGGATTGTTATTTATTGTAAAAGACAGAAATCCACAGGAAATGACGTCAAAATGGGTAACTTTGAAAATCCCGCGTTTACTGGTCATGGAAACTCTGGTTTGATGATGGCAGAGCCTGTGGAAGAGTATGACCAGATTCCTGCAGATAAGGTACGACTGTGTCAAAATATACTGACTACAATAAAGAGCAGATAAGGTACGACTGTGTTAAAATATACTGATTACAATCAAGAGATAAGGTACGACTGTGTTAAAATATACTGACTACAATAAAGAGCAGATAAGGTACGACTGTGTTAAAATATACTGAGCACAATAAAGAGGTAAGGTACGACTGTGTTAAAATATACTGACTACATAAAGAGCAGTTAAGGTACGACTGTGTTAAATACTGACTACAATAAAGACAGATAAGGTACGACTGTGTTAAAATATACTGACTACAATAAAGAGCAGTTAAGGTACAAATGTGTTAAAATATACCACCTACAATGTAGAACATATAGGGTACGTCTGTGTACAATGTACGAGGGGTGATCAAAAAGTTTGCGAACTAATTGAATTAATTCCTTAAAAGAAATAAAATGAGGTTTCAGTGGTATTTTTTTTAAAAGTAGTCCTCTCCGATTTTAATGCACATCTGCCATTGTTCTGCCGATGCGCCAATCACGTGATCCAGGCGGTCACGTGACATGCTCTGTAGCGATCTGTTCACAGAAGCTAAGAGATTTTTCCGAATATTATATTTTTACCATGCAAGTTATTTTTTATAACAAGAACAGACTGTCTGTCAGAAATGGCCAAATCTCGGCAATAGGATGGGTGGATAAGGATATGCCATCCCAGAATTTGCATGGTGACCATCACAACCCGAGTCCTCTGTCTCTGGAGCGTCGCTTATACAATGAGGAAAAAGTATGGGCGCCTTCTTTTTTCATATCTCGTATGTTTATAGTCTAAAATAAACGATATTTTAAGGATTTAATAATTATATTATTGTTCAGGTATTGAACTATTTTTCTAATTGTAACTTGGCTATCTTTCAAAACAAATTGCTCAACAAAGGACACGTCTTTTTACCGGCTTGCTTTGCTGGGCAACAGAACAAACATCATTTTTACCATCCCCCTGCCTTCACTAAAACAATCAATCAATTAATAGTTGAACTTCTGGTAAGTCTTTTGTCTTCATAAACCTTGTACAAATTATCATATTCTACTGCAACGGAATAGATATACATTTTTTTGTCACAAGTCACCTACATATTGATGTCATTTTAACATTGTGACGTCACAAACATGGGACAAAAACATTATATAACATCTGCTATTTATAGAACATGTGTATGACTATATATGTGCCAAATTTCATTCTGATCTGAATGGTGGTTTTGTAAATATAGAGATAGTTCGCGAACCTTCTGATCACCCCTCGTACTGACTACAATATAGAACAGAAAAGTTACATCTAAAAAAGGCACTATAAACTGCAATAATTATTTAGAACAGATAAGATTCCTCTTTACTCCTGGACATCAAGCAATCAAACTGTTGGCATGGTTGTAATAAGCATTGGGTGCTCTATTGAAATTTTGAAATTCATGGCCCCAAGTTCAGGGGATCTGGTGCTAGGGTGGACTATATAGATCATATGGTGAAAGTGCATTATTTCTTAGAAAAGCTTCTTCTCTTCTCCAAGGTATTAAACAAGCTAAGTACATAATTTTGATGAGCAATGGTGCCTCTTCCAATATTGTTAACTTCTTGGCCTCAGGGTCAGGGGTTCTGGTGATAGCTATAGGGTAGGGCTTTAATGATTATATAGTGAAAATGCATTAATTCTTTGAGAATCTTCTCCTCTGCTCCTGGGTATTAGGCCTATGAACGAGGCACATAATTATGGTGAGTAAGAGTGCCTCTTCCTCTAATTCTTTGAAAATCTTCTCTGTTCCTGGGTATTATTTAAACAAACTAAGTGCATGGTTATCATAAGCAAGGATGCTTATTCCAAAATTGTGCAATTCATAGCCCCTAGATTGGGGGTGCTGGTGAAAGAATGAGGGGGCTCTATTGATTATACATGTATAGTGAAAAGCATAATTTCTTTGAAAATATTCTTTTCTGCTCCTGGTTATAAAGCAAAGAAATTAAGTGTAAAGTTATGATGAGCAGGAGTGCTTCTTCCAGTATTGTGAGTTTCTTAACCCCTGATTCTGGTGTAAGGATGGGTTTCTATTGATAATATAGTGAAAAAAAAGCATTAATTCTATTATAAAATAATCCTATCTGCTTCTTAGTCTTGAGCAGATAAACAGATGAGCAGATAAACAAAGTGCATATAGTTATGATGAACAAGGGCTTCTTACAAAATTTACCAGCACGATAACTCGGTCGGTAGAGCGCTTGCTCCGTGATTGGAAGGTCGTGTGTTCGAATCACGGCCGCGACTGACCTAAGTCGATAAAAAATAGGTAGCAACTGTTCCTTCGCCAAGTGCTCAGCACTTTGAAGTGAAAGTTGCGGGTCCTTCGGATGAGACCTCAAAAACCGAGGCCCCGTGTCACGGTAGGCGTTGGCACGATAAAGAACCCTCACTGCTCCATGGCCCTGAATGCAGAGTAATGGTCTCAATTTGAAGTCTTCACCGGTATATGGTGACGTCTCTGTTTGGGTGAAAAATTCTCGAACGGGACGTAAAACAACATACAATTAATAATTCAATCTAACAAAACTTTAAAACTTGTGGTCCCAGGGTCAGCGGTTCTTGTGTTTCTCGGGCGGGGGGTGGGGTCTATTGATAATATAGTAATAATGTGTTAATTCTTTGATTAATTGCATAGCTATGATGATGAGGGTACATCTTCCAAGTTTGTAAATTTCATGACCCTGAGTCAGGGGTTCTGGTGGCAGGGTAGGGCTGTGTTGAATGTAGTAGTGAAAATTCATTATTTCTTCCTCTCTGTTTCTGGGCATATAGGAGGCAAACAGAGTAAAAGTTTAATAAGCAAGGGGTATTTTTGAACAACTGGACATTTGGTTAAGTGTTCTGGTCCTGGTCAGGGCTCTATTAATTTGTATGCTACTGAGAGAAGTTATTCCCCTTTGCCATTGACTTGTGATAATTAATTACTCACTGTAAATAATGTATTTAAAAGGTTAATAGAATAAGAAAATTATGCAATAATGGGGGACAGATTAGAACTTAATTTATGAGTTGTTACTGAATACTAGTCTAATTATTTTGTTGATCCTGATCATCCTATTTTTCTTGTTTGTGGGAAACAAAGCTTTATCTATAGCTATCTATTAATTTTATACTCTATTGATCCTCTAAAATGTTGTATTATACTCAGGTGACCCTTAAGGCTCATGGACCTCTTGTTTTTAAACTTTGTTTTCACCGTTTTTGTTGGTAGAAAAAAAAGTTGCTTGAAAAGAAAAGATAGGCAACCCAATTTATACGATATAAAGTAATTTGTTTATCCAATCAAATACTGCGTTATAACCAGAATTAAATTATTAACATTTAAAATGATATTTTCTTATTCTATTACCGTCCATTTATCAGCAGAATATACATGTATATAAGTATTATAAATACCTTGTAACAAGTAATTCTTGTTGATTTCACTACATTATTGCGAGGAACTGCAACCATTCAGCAGCATCCTTACTGTTTGTCATGATTGGAAACGTTTCTGTCATCTTAAATTTCATATATTACTTTAGAAATCCCAAGCCAAAGCATTTTTATCGATATTGGAAAAAGTATTGCTATACGATCTTTTTTGTCAACGAATCGCAATATACCGGAATTTCGATATTTTCATACAGCCCTACTTTGCGCCATATAGTAAATACTCAGCATTTTGGCAAACATTTTTATGCTTATTAATTGTGGTATAGAATGTAGCAGAGACCATGTTCACATAGTACATGTTTTCTTAAGGATTTAAATTCGAAACATATGTTTCCCTGTAATGAAATATGGAGATAACGAATAGTATTCAAGCTCAAAAGTCATTCAAACAGTACAAATCAGGAGCAGAGCAAACTAGGACATCTAAGGCATCATAGGTGGGATCAGGTGCCATGAAGAAGTAAGCATCCCCAGTTGAACGGTCACATCCACCGTGCGCTTCTTGTTTTGATCGGGAAAAAAACGGTAAATCCATATACAATTCATTGAGTAAATAATAAACTAGCATTTAGAATGGAAAAAAAAAAGAATAAATAAAAGATAAGTATACAAGCAAACCACACTAATATTTATTCAACTACGTGATTTCATATGTTCTTATGACATTAAATGTAAATAAAATCACAAAAACAACTTTGTTTTTTTTCAATCAGGTAGACTCTTTAAAATATTGATAGAATGAGAAAAAAAAGTCAAAACACGTTAGATAGAACACCCGTTGTGTACTCCTTGTCATGACCGGGAAAAACTGGAAAATCCGTAAATAATTCAGTGTGTAAATAATGGTCTTACAATGTGAAAGACGTCAGTCAGCATTTGACTTAATGTTAGATTGTATTTGCTGACAAGGTCATTGTATCGACCATAGAACTTGCGAAATGATGACTTTAAACGAGAATGTTAATATTCTTGTTTTATCAACTTGTTTCTCAGTAGCTTGTCTCATTTTAGAAACTGTTCGTACGTAGAGCATGCTCTTACGTATTGAAAAACATGTACAATTTATTGTTAGGTTGAATGGTGACTAACGTCTTTCATACAAATTGTTAGGCCATCGTTTCAAACGGATTTTTTTCTTTTTACCCGATCATCACAAGGGTCACATGACTGGTGTGACTGATTGTCGGGTTATGGTGATGCTCACTCCATGGCACCTGATCCCACCTCTTTTTTAGAGGTCCATGTTTTCTCTGTGCACAATTTGTTTTGTTCAATTGGATTTTTAAACATGATTAATGTTCGTTACCTTCACATTTCATGTACAAACACCTGCCCTGCCTCAATTGTTCTTACTTTTTCAACATATTGCCAGCAGATGCTGAGTAGATGCCTTATGTTTGAAGAGGTGAATATTTTAAGTCAGTTAAATAAATGTCAGACGAAAAAAACGAATCAAGATATAACAAGTTAAAAAAATACAATGACAACTAGATTCAATTTTTACGAGTAGGCATTAGGTCTTCTGTCCCACTTTCAAACTTTGCGATGCATAACAGATACCAATTTAGACCCTATTGCTAGTTTAAGGTATAAGCGTTTTATTATTTACATCAAACTAAAATCTGTGGATTAGTACTTTTTGTTTACGCATTCCTTAATTCATTTTTTATTGTTTATTTTAGAGGTCTTTAAAAGACGACGATTAGAATCGGGGAGGGGGGGGGTGTTAGGGGGAAGGCTACTTTACAACACTGACTGAGCGAATGTAGTACGGTATACACGTCTCAAATACCCCGTGACACACTTTAATACCAAGAAATTCAAGCTTGCCATCGTGATATAATTTCCTTTGTTTGTATTTTGATGTAATTAAAACATATGTGAATATAATCTACTTTTCTCCACACAGATGTTATCTGAATCACAGCTACAAAATCACAGCAAAGGGGTGTATGAGAGTTCAAGAAAAGTCCCGAAAGAGGATCACACCTACCAAAGCCTGAGCGGGGCCTCAAACAAGGGATTTCAAGAACCAGAATACGAAACTCCCAATAAGAGAGTGAGCAGTAATTACATGACCTTCACTGGATGACTTCCTTCATATTACAATTCCCTTGCATTCATTTAATATGCCACAATATTGTTTTTAAAAAATATCGTTCTAAAACTAACATTTATCAGTGATAAAAATGAAATGATGCATTAAGGTAAAGATTTAGTAAATGAGTTTAGAGTCTTTTGGTGCTAAATCTTTTATAACGTTTTTAACTTTTGATATTCTTTCCAATTGTTAATCGCTATAATTGAATCAGGTGTTATATGAGGCATTTCCGTTGCATTCAATTTGAGTCATGTGAAAATCAATCGGGATAGCCATAATAAATTTTATATTATTTCAACGAAATGGTCGAGAACTATTATATTATATTATTGTTTTCTGACCAATCTGGATACATATTATTTGATTGATAGAGAAAAATCTCCCATGTCTTCTGTTTTCATTGAAAGTAAAAGACTAACCCGTTGTGTTTTCTAAAAAGAAATTTGCCCGAAAACATCTTATAATAAGAGAGTATAGTTATAAAGTATCATTAAAGGAATTCATATCTCACATTATAGAATCCTGGAGGCACCTTTAATTTACTAGATGTTTACCTTAAGTGGTTTTTATTATTATACTGCATGTATTCTCTTACCTAACACATATGAGTTTTGTACATTTTCCTGACTGATTCTGGAATGCTACATTCTGTTTGGATGTTGTATTTTGTATGTTATTGTCCATTCTGTTATTAAACTCTGTCAGCATGTATATGTTTGTGAAACTTTCGAGCTGCCATTTTGGGGCATCAGTTTTCACAAACACATCTTAAAGCTTGTTTTTTTAAACGAATACCTTTTTTTCTTTTACTCTCTCTCCACAAACATTCGACGTCATATATTTCTTTAAAAATATGACCCCTACTATAATTACTACGTAATTTTGAATGTGTCTAGGACAGTCACATTTACTTGCTTTTTGAACTGAAACTCGCCAAAATTAATTGCATGCCGACGTACCCATTCTGCGGTCAGTCTTTCATGGTCTTGACTTACAAAGAACACAACAAAAAGCACACAATAATTCACACCACATGTATTTAACAAAATTTTACTATCAATAATGATAAAATTTAAAATCTACGTCACCATGACCTACTTTTGGATTGATAGATCCCTGTGTCCAAAGGTGCTTTGGTTTTCTAGATCTGGTGAGGCTACAGGTCATAGAGTTCAGTTTATATACGATAAAAGCCGTAACATTCAGAAAGTACAGTAAATCGCTGTTATTGACTTCAGGGTAACATTTCGCAATGCACAAAATGCATCAACTGACAAGATTTTAAGCAATTTTGGTATCCAAGATATTTACTTAAAAGCCTTGAAAATGAATGATAATAAAATTAACAAGAACCTAAGAACCACATCGCTCTCCTGAGCACTTTGGTTAGAGCAGGAATCGGTGCAGTATTGAAAACGTAAATATATAAGAGGTCCAACCCTACCCTGGGAGGGGCAGGAGAGGGGTCAAGATTAGCACTTGATGAAGTTAATTAAAGATGTTTCCATATTTATATGACTAATCAAGGCTTTAAAGGATTTTACAGATTTTCTCCTCTATTTTCCTAAGTAAAAATTTGATCTTCTTTTCTGGCTCCGCGGTGGCTTTGATGTTGTTGAGGAGAAGATTTTTAAATATTTTCCCTTAATATTCCTGTGTAAAACTTTGATTGCCCACAATGGCCTCCCCTTCCCCTGGGGGCTATGATTTTAACAAACTTGAATCTACACTACCCGAGGATGCCTCCAAATAAATAATCGTGACCTTACTGTTCTTCAGATGATGTTAAAAGATTTTTCTATACCCTACCGCGGGCTTTATGATTTCAAGCTTGAATCTACATTACCTGGGGAGGATGCTTCTGTATTAATATGACCAATCTTGGCTTTGCTGTTCTTGAGGAGAAATTGTTAAAAGATTTTTCTTATTTTTTCCTATGTAAAATTTTGATCGTCCATTGTGGTCCCACCCTAGCTCTGGCGGTCATGATTTGAATAAATTTGAATCAACAAGACCTGAGGATGCTTCCATATAAATATGACTAACCATGGCTTTGCTGTTCTTAAGAAGAAGATTTTAAATCTTCTTCCTATATATTCCCACGTAAAACTTTCATTGCCTGTTGTGGTCCCACCCTACCCCTGGCAGTCTTGATTTAAACTTGAATCTACCCTTACAAAAATTTACTGTAGTTAACTATAATTTACTATAGTTAATTATAGTAAAAACTTTGATACTTTGATCTACTATGAAACTTTACTCTGGAACTTTTTTTTGAGATTTCAAAGCTTAAAATTAATATGTGAATATACAAATAATAGTTCCATTTTATACAATATATGTGCATGTATGAATTGAAGAACAAAAAATAAAACAACTGAAATCCATAGTAAAAATACTTTGATTTACTATATATAATAGTAAAAAACTTTGATACTATAGTAAACTATAGTTAACTATTGTATTTTTTTTGTTGGGGTACACTACCTGAGGATGCTTCCATATAAATATGACCAATCGTGGCTTTGCTATTCTTGAGGAGAAATTTTTTAAAGATTTTCCCTGTATATTCCTATGAAAAACTTTGCATTTTAATCCCCGTCCTAGTCCAAGGGTTCACGATTTGAACAAAGTTGTATATACACTATATATTGAAGGTTTCAACACTACGTTTCAGTTTTTTTTTGGCCCAGTGGTTATTGAGAAGATTTCAGACAATGTCATTAAATTTTAAACAATATTTATCTCCTCATGAAAGAAGGCGTTGCCCTTCATTTAAACAACCTTAAATTCCGTTTACTAAAGGGTGCTTTCTGGCAAGTTTGGTTGAAATTGACACAATGGTTTTTGAGAAGACGAAAAATGTGAAAAGTTCACAGACGACAGGAGGACACCGAACACCCTTCGATCAGAAAAAAACTCACTCGAGCCTTCGGTTAAGGTGAGCTTAAAACGTAGGTAATTGTGATATATTATTTGACACACATCAAAGTCTTAAATTGCACCAACTGATAAAGTTTGAAGATCCTAGGCTTCATAGTGTCCAAAATATTCATCTAAAACAATTCGAAAGTACAAAACTGCAAAATTTAAAAAGAAGGTCATTGTGATCTACTTTTTGGTTAACATACTATATATTTTACGGTACAGATATAATCAGCTATAAAGACATAATTATCTTAGGCCCTTTAGAATTCAAGGTAATTAGATTTGACATGAAATAATATAAAATTCAAAAAGTAGGTCACCATGACCTTTTTTTGGTCAGCATATTTAAGGCCTCAAAGCGAATCAATTGACAAGGTTTGCTGAAAATTGGCCCCTTAGTACTCAGGCTAAAAGAAGATTTAACTAAATAATGATAAAATTTAAAAAAGATAGGTCACTGTGATCTTATTTTGAATAAACACATCCTAGGGCACAAAATACATCAACTTATTTGGTTTATTGACCTCTAGGACAGAGTGATTAATTATTTAGGTTACATTATTTTTATGGAAATAAGCCGTCCAATTCAGAAAAAAAGAGTATCTGTGACTTTTGGTTGTCACATCTCTAAATCCCAAGATGCATCATTTGAAAAGGTTTGATGATTCTAAACCTCCTGGTGTCTTAATTATTGAGATGTAGCCTTGAAGTCTAGAAAAAGGTCCTGTCCCTGGAATGTATACAATGATCTTGTTACTAAACTACTTGAACAAGCTTGTATATTTTGGTTGTTATTGGCTCCATCGTTTTAAAAGAAGAAAATTGATGAAATACAAATCCGGAAGATTTTCTTTCAAATTTGAACAGCTACCAATTACAGTTTTCCTTACATAATGAAGCAATAATCGAAATCATTTATGAACAAAGTTAATTATACAGTAATAATAAATCTTTCCTTTTAAACCACTCAAAATTTTGTGCTGTGCAAAAGTATGACAGTATATGCAAAGGAAAAAAAACGAAATTTGAAAATATTTTCCTAAACAATTTGTTTTAAAAATTCTGAATAATTGCATGTAATGCATTTACAGCCAAAGGTGATACCTTATATAATTTTACACTATCATAGAACTACAACATTTATACCTCCATCCATTACTGGTAGGAACTAAATAATTGACAATTACGACCAGCAAAGGTAGTATAAATTCATCTACTTTAGAAAACAATATACAGCAGTAATCAATTTACAAACATAAAGAGATGCACATCTTTTGAAGATATTTCCACAATCCTTACATGTAGTATATGCTGATGCAATCATCACATGTAAACAACTGCATGCCACCTATGTTACCTTTGTATGATTACGTGAATATTTACTAAGATCACGATGAATAGCTTGGGATTGTTTTGAATCTTACACGTAAACAATAGCATCTGTATAGCAGGCAAAAAAAATCGTCACGATTATGATACCTATGTGAATTCTCATTGTTTCCAATGTAGTAAACCTTCGGTATCTCGAACACTGTGTGTTCGATAACATATATAATGAAATATTGGTCTCCATCGTATATTTTATCCTAGCCACTAAAATCAAACAGGTTTTGAAAAACGTACTCTTTGGTCTACTCCACAAATAAATATACGCTTGTTCACTTGCTAAGACGACGATGGCCTGGTACCGGCCGATTGCAACCACAGAAACATCTTCACTTCTGACGAACTGGGATATTCTCCCTCCGCACATCAATGGCTTGTCAGTGTCAGTATGACAGAACAGAAATACTACCACCGTTGGTCAAACAAAATTCATTTTACAAACGTGAAGACGTTAAGGACATACGCAACGCAGTTTTTTTTTTTTTAAGAAAGATGTTTGTCTCTGACCAATATTAGAAGAATGGAAAGTGAACTAAATCTAAGGAAATCTATAATTACTAACAATGGCATTATATTGAATATTGTAAAATGATATTATATCAATAAAGCAATTAGCTAAAAAAGATAGGTGAAAGAAACTTATGATACTGGTAAAATTTTGGCTGTAAAAAGCCTACATAAATGAGTTTCAAATGCATACGAGATCAGTTTTGAATTTTCCTGTCAACTGATTTCAACCAGTCTAAGAATATTTCAGACGTGACACATGCTGTCTTATTTGCCTTGTAAAGATTATTTGAGGACATACGCAATACACCTTACCTACTAATGATTTTTCAAGACATTCTTAATTTAAGATCATAGTGCCATCAGATGTTCGTAGATAAAAATCAGCATGCCTTATCAGTGTTTTTGAAAAGATATTGATTGATGAAAATTCTTGTATAATTCGAAGAAAAATATACAAAAATTACTAAACATATATTCTAGATGTTTTGTTTTTCCAAACTTATTTTAGGAGAAGTGTACAACAGCATAGGTAGACATTAAAATGTAACACACAGTTTCTTTAAATATTGGAACTCTTCAACTCCAGGGAAGAAGACAATAAAATTCAAACTACGTTGCGCATGTCCTTAACCTTAATTTGACTTCGATTGACCTGTTGAATATTACAATTTATCACGTGGTGTCCACCGGCGAGTGTACGTGTGAAAACAAAATAAATTTACATTGCATTCGTAAACGTGTGACCTCAATCTAAATCACGTCTTAGAGCGTGTTTGGTTGGTCTGCCATTTTCAAAATTTAGCACTCCGGGTACATGACAAATACCGAAAGGCGACACTTATGTATCGTTGCTTCATTTTAGAGTCATAGCACCATGCAAGGCTTTTGCACAAATGCTCTACCTAATATAATCATGTGTATATAGATATTGCTATTGCTGCTAAAAGTATTTTGGATTCACTTCATTTGCAGCTCGCTAGAAAGTTTGCAAAAAGACTCCGAATCGGGCGTTAAGTCTACTCATTCTTAACTTGAACGTTCAGCAATAAGACGGTTAGTTAATGTTGAATAACGTAAATGTAAATTATGATAGGTCTGTAGGAAGCAATTTCTTTATGGTTGATCGATGCTAGTTATGACGTAACATTTTAAGGTAATTCTAGTTATTAACGTGGAAACTGAGTGTGTGATGAGTATTTTTATGCAATCGTTTATATTAAATATGAATACTGTAGATTCCTAAATATACGCGAGGAATCAATAATCGCGTAATTTCGCGAGAAGCACCACTCGCGAAATAAAATTACTCGCTTTTATTTTTATGGTGCTGAGATCAATGTAAAATCTCTTGATCGACCGTCCATCGCGAATTTATCTTCTCGCGATTTGACATTAACGAGCCATTTCGCTCGCGATAATAAGTACTAGCGAAAAATAAAGAATCTACAGTATTAAAATAAAAGATCAGAGTCACAGTAATTATATATATATATATATATATATATATATATATATATATATATATATATATATATATATATATATATATATATATATATATACACACAATGCAATTCATTTATTAATGGAGAAAAAAGTCTAACCTTTGTAATTTGAACCCTTTGATATCGAGAAGTTTGTCGTCGGACCTGTCAAGTTCGAGATACCGGAGTATGATAATATATATTTTCGACATACATGGTTTATTTTAATTCAAGATATTCCAATGTAGTGCGTCATTAATGTCTATTGTAAGTTGAACATTCATAGCATTTGCTGAACTTTCATCGCAATTTTACCTGTTTTATCTTGTTAAGATAAAATGTATATTATTATTTTATAAGCTATTAGACGACGGCATGAGAGATGGTGATCATGTGTACAGCAAGGTGAACATGCAGTGACTTCCACCTGACCTTACAGTTACTTTCACTTCGGAGGGCTCCCCATCTTAAGACAATTAAAAATTCTCTGCCGCTTTTTTTTATTACTTGTGAACTGAAATAGGAATATTCACGTTTTTCGAAGCAGAAATACATGTACTTTTTATGTGAGTTTCATACACTGAAGCACAATATATACATACATATATATATATATAAAAGATTTTTTTTTTCATTTTATAGCATATTAATTTCTTTTACATATTTTTAAGGATACGATCAGCAACAGAGAGCTGATATCAATTTAAAGTAACTGAAATAAGTAATTAGATAACCTATAATAGTTATCCAATGAAAAGAAACTCTGCATGCATCGAATGTAAAATACGATTCTTAACGACAGTCCGTCTGATTACATCGCAGAAAGAAAATGATTGTAAGAACTGCTCTGTATTTACGAAAAACTTAATTTCGACAAACTTAAAAACTTCCAATTGTAATTTTTCTTGTTTATATAGATGTACATAAATTTAACTATTTCTTTCAATTAAATTGTCTTGTGTTGAATACATGTTCAAATAAAATATTTTTTCATATTTAATAAAACGAAAATTATTGATTAGAAAAATTAATAATGATAAATTTTCAAAATATCATTTCTTGTACGAACAAACATTTTCTAAAACGAGGAAGGCTGCTGAAAATAAGTCGATGATACAAGGATAACATTAATCTCGTATAAAGTCAACGTTTCTCAAATTTTATGGTCGATACAATCAGGACAATGGCCTTCTTTACAAATACAAGCTATCGTTTACTGTTGACTGAAGTTTTCATACGAATTGTTAGACCATTATTTTAAATATGGATTGTCTATGGATTCTCCATTATCCGATCATGACAAAGAGCATACTGCGGGTGAAACCGATCGACAGGGGATGCTTATTCCTCTATGGCAACTGATCCCATCTCTGTATTCGTATATGAACAGAGATACTGTCAAAAGATGAAACTTTCAGCACCTACTCTTATTAAATAAATAAATACGTTAAACATAAACTTCTCAGATTTTTTTTAAACAGAAAAAAGTCCAATATTAAAATAAACATCGAGCTCTTATCAGCTGTTTTAGCAGTATATGTATGCCTTTACAATGAACATTTGAAAGTATCCGATTAATATACTTATCCAAAATTGGTTTTATTAGCTACAAATTCTATTAACTTCATAGAACATAGTCCAGTTGGGATTTTGAAAAAAAAAAAACGGTTTTGAAATTGGAATTTTTTTTAAAAAAAAGGTTTATTCTGAATTACAGCTAAATCTAATAGGTTTATAACATTTGACGAAAACATGGATTTTATTAAAGAAAAAAAAAGCAGTCTTTCTGCAAAAAAGCGTCTGGTAAAAAGGCTTTTATTAGAATGCTCACAAAAATGTATGCCTCCATTCCATTTTTCCATTGAAAAAATTCAAATTTATTGGATTTTGAACAGGAACAGATATAATTCTAATATTTCCCAACAACTATTAATATTCTTTAAAATATTATTATAAAAGGTACCTTAATAGTAATATTTATGCTCATTTATAAACAGAATAAACAATTTGATGACATTTGTCTTGGCAGAGATACTCTTCATTATACAACATGGTTTTCTGCAGTTGATCATTCTTATGTTGCAGATAATAAAAATTCCTATACAACTCTTGTGGCCTTTTTGGATTTGCTCATCCTTATACATAAATGCGAATTGTGTATTAGGGACAGATATATAAAACTCTTTCTGTGTTTTACCATATATATTACGCATATCTCATCACTCCATAAAACAATTAAACTAAAGCATTCTGTATAACAACAAGATATATATATATATTGCTCCAAACAGTATGTTGGTGAAACAGGAGATCTCCGCAGGAGAGTCAATAATCACCGTTCTACCATTAGGACCAAAAAACTCAATGAACCCGTTGGGGAACATTTCAACCTTGAAGGTCACAAATGGGAGGACATGACAGTAGTGGTTATTGACCATAATCCAAGATGGACAGACGCGCAGAAAAAAAGCAAGGAAAAGTTCTGGATGCACAGGCTGAAGTCATTCCGCCCTAATGGTATTAACAAACTTAATGACTTCACCAGGATGAACGTGAACTAGACCCAATCCCGGATTGTAACAAACTAGTTCATTCTCTCTATATAGTGTAAACTTTACCGTTAATTCGTATTAGCAATCCTGGAACAACCTACCCAAATATTTACAGCTTACATTTTTGTTTATTTCTTTTTTCCGATTTCCAAATTTATAATATATTCAAATTCATATTTCAAAATTGTCCTTCCATATTATCTTTCTTTAAATTCTTTTTATCATGTAGAGTTACGCTATTTTGAGAGAATAAGACAATGTACGATTTACTGTTGGTCGTAATTAATTAGCGATAATTAATTCGTTCAATTATGTAAATCACACTTCACCAGAGTACACCCGATATACCGGACGCAATTCATAGCGCTCCGGATTTCTTTGTTCACAACTGTTTATAAACTCCACATAAAACATGTAACATTGTAAATATTTAGTGTTTGGTAGTTTAGTAGTAGTGCTAGTTGTTTTTGCTTCATCTCTATTTCCTTTGTTTTTATGACTTCTTAACTTTTTTCTTTGTCCTGAGGAAGGGACAGATCGTCCCGAAAAGGATGACTGCACTTAACGCCTGTTTTTGGGTCTTTTTCGGTTGCTTCTGTTGCTTTTATATCTAAACCTTGTCTCACTTTTGTATGTTTATGAAAGAATACTGTCAATTTGGAACCACATTTAAATCTTAAAATGATTTTAGACTGTGACACAATAAAATGATTTAATGTTTTTTGTCCTTACTGCTTTCCAAATATAGTGAATTTACACTTACCTGCCCTTGATTGAACATTAGATATGCATGAGAGGTGGAGCTAACATTGTAAGAATGGGTCTAAAATCTTGATAAATAACAATGACATGTTTGGAAAAGCGAACATGATCACTCTTTCCAGTCTACCTCTACATTCTGTATGGCACAAATACACTTCTGACAAAGGTTTCAAAACGAAATTAACAATATTAGCACGTCAATGTAATTAAAGCAGATTTTATATCAATGTCAGATGACTTAACGTGTTCGAACACAGTGTCCTAGTTAGCACAAAACATGCTACCTTACAAGTCACGTGACGGAATTTAGTATTCACAAAGTTATCTGAGGTAAGAAATCACGTGGTGAATTATAATATTCAACATGTCACAATCCTTGGTTACAACACAGAGAGCGAATGTAAGAAGAAGCAGTTTTTTCTCTTTTTAACCATGAGCGCATGTTTGTCTATTAATCTCCTTTTGACACATTATTATTTATGCAAATATACAACTACTGTTAAACGTAGAACAATAGACAAACATGCGCTGACTATGTATAAAGTCAGCAAAAAAGTGGGCGTCCTCATTATCGAACGGAGATTCAAGAAATTGTGATGACCCCTGCCTTTGAAAACAGATTCGAACATTGTAAATACACACTTTTATTAAACGTAATTACATAAAGTTGTAGATTGGATGTTGACCATTCTTGCAATGAAAAGAAAAATGCTTGTTTTGAAAGTTTATTTTGTCGCAAATTCCGCATGTCCTTAAGTGCAGTCATCCTTTGACAATTATTATTGTTCGTGTCGTTGGTCATTTTTAGTGCTTTATATATATATATATATATATATATATATATATATATATATATATATATATATATATATATATATATATATATATATGTGAAAAGGTAATATTGTTACTAGATTTCTTTCCGTGGAAATAGGAATGACCACACTTTTGGGAGATCACTGATAATGATGCTCCCAATGACAACCAACAAAATTCCCACTCCAAGAATAGCCCCCGCCCCCATTGCTGAGGGTCGGACGTCGGTTGCACTTATCCTTTTCCTGATGGCCCTTGACGTAGTATTCTTCAGAACAACCAAATTCGATTTCAACTCCTTTAATCGCTGATGAAGTTTTTCTATTTCATGTTCCTTGATGGGCTTAGAGCCAACCATGCCGCAAGGGCACTTACACTCTGTAAAAAATATTTGACGTGTCCTGACATGACTTGCACATGTTCTTATGTTCTAAAATATAGGTTATTGTTAACACTATCTTTTAACATTCTCATATCTGAAATTCGACCTTTTATTGTGTATCTTTTCATTGTATTCACAAATAGACTCGCAGCTGGACAAAACTTGGTGAATTAACCCACTGTACTTATAAATTCGAAAGAAGACATTTAAAATTGGAAATAGTTTGTCAATCTGTCCAAATTGTTTCATATGTATGTATGATCGTCTTACTTTCACAAACTGGAGGGTCCTCATTCCATTCTCCTTCATCGGTACATGTTCGATTAAGGTTTCCTTCTTTGTGCCGACTTCCAGGAATACATTTGTATTTCACCAATCCTCCAATACTGAAGTTTTGGTAAAGAATCTCAGCATAGCTGATGTTAGTCTCTGGGCATGTTATAACTTTTTAAAACATATATAAAGTGCAAATAATATTGTTTTAAAAATAAATACGAAAAAAAGTCTGAAAAATAAATTGAAACATTTATTTCATACTGTCCTTGAACAATTTTAAATGAGTGATTAAATTAAAATTATTGCATCTCTTAAACATTCCTGAAATGAAACCCACCTTCACACGTCAGTATTTCACCATTCCAGTCTCCAGCTTCAGTACATGTTAGTGTGGTGTTTCCCGCCAAGTAACGGTATCCCATCATGCATTGCAGATGAATCTCATCGCCACGAGCATAAATTGATTCATTATAATTGTTGTATTTTTTGATAACTGATACCTTGATGTTTGTTTCGGGTCTGTAAATGCAGATAGGCACTATCGGTATAATAAAAAGATAACATTATTGCAACATGTAGTAATGGTATTATTCACGTTAATTTACGCAACTTTCTGCAGAACCAAATTAATATTGCAGAAATACACTAACCCTTTGCATTGTGAACGCTGATTATGATATCCACGTTGTTGGTCATCTGTTCCTTGTAACCCCATCCCCACATCTCCCCCATCATGAAGATTGCAGCTTCATTTATTTTTCTCTTGTTTAGGTGGGGAACCCAGAAAGCAACCGATGTTTCACTGTATCCATATACAAGTCCACCATAAGGTACAAACTCAGTCATTACTGAACCAACACCGTCAAATCGGTAATTTTTGTTAGGACCGTCTTTTACTTCGATCTTCAAAACAGAGTAGAAATACATTCGATGACAAGGTTATATGCTAAAGAAATAGGACAGTGTTGCTTAGTAAATTTGAACATCTTCTTCCCTAAAACAAGAGTTTATAAAATTTTACGAAAAATCTAGTAATGAAATTTATGGATATAACGAACAGTATTCAAGCTAAAAAGTCCACTAAACATTACAAAATAGGTGCAGAGCAAACACGGACCTCCAAAACATCAGAGGTGAGATCAGGTGCCATGGAGGAGTGAGCATCCCCTGCCGACCGGTCACACCCGCCGTGAGCTACTTGTCATGATCGGGAAATAACGGAAAAATCCGTCGACAATTCATGTAAATAATGGCCTAACAATTAGTATGAAAAACGTCAGTCAGCATTTGACTCAATGATAAATTGTATTTGCTGACAAGGTCATTGTATCAACCATAGAACTTACGAAATGATGACTTTAAACGAAAACTAAATTGAAAATAATTAAAATTCAAACTTTCACGCTCAGTCTTTTTTCATGTCGCGGTGATCACCACGACACAGCAAAGACGAGCGAGTGAGGAGAGAATTAATTTAAATAATCTTTCAAAAAGCCTTTTTGGCGTAAGTCAGCCTACTCATTTTTTTAAAACTATGAAATATACGGAGATAATGAAAAGTATTTAAGCTAAAAAGTTCAATAAAGATACAAATTTTGGAGCAGAGCAAACAAGGACCGCTAAAAGATCAGAGATGGGATCAGGTGCCATCGAGGAGTGAGCATCCCCTGCCGACTGGTCACACCTGCGGTGTGCTCCTTGTCATGATCGGGAAATAACGGAAAAATCCGTCGACAATTCAGTGTGTAAATAATCTAACAATTAGTATGAAAAACATCAGTCAGAATTTGACTTAATGATAAATTGTATTTGCTGACAAGGTCATTGTATCGACCATAGAACTTCGTATCGTATTGACATAATTAAGAATGGAGATAACCATTGTTAATTGACAATACGTCGTTGATATATCTAAATGTCGAGTTGAAGGCCACAATAAGTGTTTTCGTCTTTTCACGTATAAATTTTATTTACCTATACAAAAAATGCCGCTGTCATTGGATTTCTGCAAAACTCTGCCTCTTTGTCATTCAAAGGATATGCCTCAACTGTTTAATGACTCTTTCTATGACCATAAGGAGTCATATTTATGAAATATTTCTACGTAAGAGATCTGCACTGTGATCCAATATTTATCCCGAGGGAGTCATTATGTATAAAAATTTCGTTACTCATTGACGTGTATATTAAAAAACCACCGAGTCCACATTAGTTTACTTATTTCAAGCCAATAATTCTCTTTGTTTCAAATAACGATTTAGAAAGTTTTGAAATAAAAAAGAGGTATAGTTACGATATCTTTTTGATGTTTTTAATTGTTGTTTAGTGCTATTTTTCAAAATTATGAGGATTCGTCGACTTAAAAATAAATACGTGGGTTTTCTGACTCTGAGAAATTTTTTTTTTCTCCAATTATTATTAATGTTGTAATGTAGTACGACGACAAGCCTTCCTATCACTTAAACATATCTATATTTTTCTAGATTAGCTTTTTAATTGTTACATCAACGATTGACAAACAAACCAACGAGAACCAATTTGAACAATGAACAATATGTGTTTATTGTTTTGTCGTTCTTTAGTCTGCAAGTTTTACTTTTCTCATAATCTGTCCAAAAATTCACAGACTTCATTATCAGTCAATCAGTGTAATTGATTATGAATGAAGCGCATTTTAATATCGTCAAAGTATTTATAAGTTTCATGTCCGAAAAAAAAAAAAAAAAAAAAAAAAAAAAAAAAAAAAAAAAAAAAAAAACTGAAGAAACAAGAGGCGCTCAAATTCATAGCCAGAGATGTGCTCACCTTCCATGAGTACATGCGCTTTACAAAAGCAACTTGCGTTTGTCTTTTTAAATCTTAACATTTGAAGGATTATTGCTGACCCTTTTTTTTAAGTAAAGGACACCTTAAGGGGACGATTTTTTCTGATGGAAGAATGATGCATGAATCAAAAAGAACTAGAAAAACACATATTTATATTGGTCAACACAATTTAATGCATATCTGGAGGAGAGATGATGGAAAATGGCTCAAATCTTTTCTAGGGGAAAACTGACAAATCTAGCTGTCCTCTTTTTAGTGTCATTTCATGGAGCTGTACAACTTAAGATGATATCCGCAAATTATTTCATGCATTCCAAAAAATTAACAGATATGAGGAACATTTTTTGGCCAGATAAAAGAACATTCCAAAGTATATTGCAGGATGAGACTTTCCATCGCTCAATTAACTGGAAACAAAGGAACAATATTCCTGGAAAGGTATGACCCATCACAAAGCTCAGAAATTGAATTAAAATTGAATCTACCTAAATAAAATCTTTGTGTCATTTCATTTCCACAAGATTTCAGCACGTTTTGAGAAGAAAGATTCTTATACAGAACAATTAGTTAAGTTTGTTATATTGCTGTTTTATGATTTTTTTTCCAATGTGCACCTTCCATTTTGAAATTGATTGACATCGACCATTTGGGGGGGGGGGGGTTAGAGCAAACGCTTTAAAATCAACTCTCAGTTAATAATAAATGCATCCACAGTAAAATTATATTGATGAATGATACTTTGCACGGAATATTAAATGATGACTTTTATTTTTGCCAACTTAATAATATTAGAATTCTCCCCCCCCCTCTCCCCTATGTCAGGCATCTCAATAAGCCCATTTATTAAAGTATACTTACACTCTATATATTTTCTATGACCTCAAAATTAAATCTCTCCGAAACTAGAGCCTTCATTTTATTTTCCAAATGGTTTTATTTCGTCAGCAATATACATTTTACAAACTCTGTAAACATCAAATTGCAATGACAAATGCACACTAAATTGACTCACTTAAATGGTTTACTGCTCCATGCATATGGCATATGATTCCGCCTCTGATGTTTAAAAGGCCTGTGTTTGCTCTGCTCCTGAATAGCATTGTATTAAATGGACTTTTCAGCTTTAATACTGTTCGTTATCTCCATATATTTCATTCTAAACTCCAGTTAAAAATTCAATGGTAGATAGTGAATTTTCTTCTACGAAAAAAAACGGCTACCAATTAATTTATCTTTTCTTTTTAAATTGATAACACTTGTATCTACCTGAGCAGAGAGGATAGGACTTAGTGTCCTCGTGTATTGATATGGTAAAATATAATCCTTGGTCTCGAGGTCTGATATTTGAAATCGTTCAATGCTCGTGCCCAAATCCCAAGTCTTTATGATTATAGATCCTGTGTCACTTAGGAACCTTCCACCTCCCCAGCCATCAGCAACGCATAATAACCCTAACCCTGGTAAAACATCTACACTTAGGAAATTGCTCAAGATTCATTCTTCAGTTTTGGAAATTAAGAATCTACAACTGAAATATAAGTATCTATAAACTTCTCAAAGAAAACGTAATTTAGAAAAGTGCTAACCTTTCAGCTTTCCACTAATGTTACACGCCGACCACAATTGGACGTGTGTGTGGTTGAATCCAAAGAGAAGTCCTCCTATATGGGAAGCGGTAGAAGCCATAGGTCGAGAGGACAAGCCTTAAAAAAAACACCATTTTAAACCATTACATATCTATTTTCCTTTTTATTAGCGCCGATTCTCATATTTAGCAATCCATTGTTTTACTCTTCAAATATTGTTAATTTTCCCAAGGAAAAATTAGTAGGGATGCGCATTCATTATACATATTTAAAATTGCAAAATAAGGAGCTTGAACGGGTGTAGTGCAGAACGATACTTTTGCAAAAAAGTATATAGTTTGGCACTCTAGGGCTATTAATTGTGGTAAAATGTGTATCGTATTCCATAAAGGATTCTGTCAAAGGCCTAAAATATTTCTTTTTGCCATGAAACCATTTCTTCAAATAAATTATAATATAATTTTTTTTTTGAAAATTATAGATTGATGAAAATTCAGTGTAGTTTTTAAATTCAAGTTTGAGTTTTGCAATATGCATATCTTAAGAGGATAATCTACGCAAACACATTTGTATGTCTTGAGATTAAACATGAAAAATCCCTTATGGCCATTTTTAGTAAATCTGTTTTAAAGGAATGCAACAATATAATTAAAATTGTGGCATGATATTGACCATAGTTTTTCTGGGAGTCTCAATTTTATATTCATGTAGTTTTATACACGTGAATCAGGCATATGTTTAAGTGGTTTTCTGGAAGTGAAAATAAAAATCCTCTATTGTAGAGGGGTAGGCTTATTCCTATTGCATCCTTGTAGTCATTCACAAGAAAAAATGACAAACTTTGATGAAATGGTTACCTTGACCTTGAAATGTTCCTACAGGGGTCTGAATCTGAACCAGCACAAGGTCAGGGTATTTACCCATTGAATGCTGCACTGTCGTATTGACGCATTGCCCTGTAATAGTTCATGTTAGTGTACACTAAGGTTCTTAAAAATATGCATCTTTTTCCAGCTAACTTTCACAATATATTAACTTTTTGTTACCTTTCTCTACGGATAATGCCTCACTTTCAAAAGAAGCTGTTGGAAAGTCAAGAGATCGCCACGCTTTCGCCCGAACCAGAACAGAAATGTAAGTTCTACCAATCTGAGCTGGTCCAATCCATTTTTCCCGATTTCCTGCAAGATGTTGTATGTTAAGCTGTATTTACATTATAATAATGGATTCCTAAACTTCACAAAAATCCTTACAAACAAAGATACATTGCTGAATCCATCAATTGCTACCCAATTCTTATCTTTAATCCTCACAAAAATATTAACTACTGAAGGGAGGAATTTCAGACGCACTGTGCTGCATATTCTAGAAGTGGTGTAAATCAAATGTGGATTCTCAAAACCTCCAAAGAACGTTTAGAAAATTTTAAATCACAAAATGTTTTTTTCTACACTTTATTTAACCATTCCTAGCGAGAAATTAAAAAGTAGGTTTTTGAAATCATAGACATTTCCTTCCTCAATAAAAGAGGAACTCGGATTTTCATATCTTGTGATTGGTCCTCAACAAAAATACTTGGTTAAAAATCACTGATTCTACACATAAGAAGTCTGAATTGGATATTAAAGGAGTTCCTCATCAACAACTTCTATGTTGTCTTTGGAGACAAGGTTTTCCAACAATCCGTTGGAATTTCCATATGCACTTGCTGTGCTCCTTAATTAGCCGACCTGTTTTTATATTCCTATTGGACTTTTGCGAGAAGCACTGACTTTTACACTCGACGGCTTACTTTGACATTTAAACATGTATTATGTACGGAGATACGGAATTGATATTAGATTAGTAAACCTTGCTTGTGGTCATAGGTATGGTGTTAGGGGCACTTACATGATTTACTGGAATGCAATCAACACAAGAGATGATGGAAGGTAGAATAACATATCTTAAAATACCTTATTTGTAAGGGGCAGTATTTCCTAAGGTTTCAATATCATTTTATGAAGGAATCAAATAAGGAAGAAAAAAAACATTCTGGAAGGAAAACTTGGCAGGAGTTGGTCAAGGAAGGAAGGGAGGGGTTTAGTATAGGGAGTTTTACGTTCCCCTCCCAAGACAACGTAATAAGTGCGTTGAAATGCCCAATTATTATCTTTGAACTAACTGTTAAGCTAAATATTTATAACGCAAAAGAGCTGTCAGTGGTATATTGTCCAAGTGTAAAAGTAAGTCGTCGATTGTAAAAGTCAGCGCTTCTCGCAAAAGTCCATTAAGCGGAATTTATTCAAAAACGTTTGCATTTACTGTGGTCTTCAATTCGACATTCAGATATATCAACGACTTTTTATCCATTTACAATAGTTACTCCATTCGATATATCTCAGGGAACTCGAAATAAAAGCATTACAGGGTCTGCCACGAGCCCACAGTTGTGTCATATTTGGATGTTTCACTTACTATAGACGATAGGGGCCATCTACCGGTAATAACTAAACTGTATGACAAACCGATTTTCCATCGCTAACTTTTCTTATTGATTTGGTAATATTCACATGCATATATGGTGTTTATGTTTCCCAACTTATTCGAAACTCAAGATCATGTTTAAACCGTGGCAGGCTACTGACAGATAAGTTGGTGTTACAGGGATTTCAATAACTCGTGTAAGGTCAGCATTTCTTTGGTCATTATAATGACCTTGTTTGCAAATAGAACCTATCATTGGGTCGTATTTTGACTGACATATTTCTTACATTTTGTTAGGCCTTTTTTTATACTTAATTTGACTACGGAATATTCCGCCTATCTAATCAATTCAATACATAGGACTCACAGCGGGTGTTACCGGACGACAGGGGATACTTGCTCCTCCTGGGCCCCTGATATCACCTCTGTTTACAAATTTGTATTGTTTAAATATTTCTTTTTTCGATCGCTGTTCAATATCTTCTCCTTTTTCATTACATGAAAAAGTAATGTTATTTTCTTTCATTTGTAATGGATTAATAGTGTGTAGGACAAAGACACTATCACATAACTGTACAACCAGGCGCGTAGCTAGCCGATCATATGCTACTCCTGAATAATGGCTCGTGACGAAGCTTTAGATATGAAGACGTCGAAAGCTTCTCGAATTTAGACATTTACATGCATTTTAAGAAATCCATTTAAAAGAAATCAATGACATGATTGTGTTGTCTATTGTCGTCTACCCAAGCCCAGTTTGGAACTTCCTCTGCCTCTTTTTAACAGAGGGGAGTACATCTCTGGCATGTCGTGGATGGTACATGGAAGAATTAGTACTACCACCCAGAAGCCATTCCTTTGAGGAACAGTAATATCAGAAAAGTCCTAAACCAAACCCGGTCTTTATGCTCTCATACACGTATTTAGTTCCCTTGGCACCTATGAACCCCGTATTGCCACCGTTTTGCCTGTTTACATCAACATTTACATATATTTTATGTTTTACTGGAAAGTCGCACATATTTTGAACAAAATTTGAAGTAAAACAAACCTGTATACAAAGCTGTCCAAGTCGTATTTCTGATATAGTTGTTCCATTTGGGAACCGCTATGTTGATATTTTTGTCATCATATATAAAAACGACCCCACCGTATAAGGAACCGTCATCGTCATCAGTTTGAGCGGATCCAAAACCAGGAAAAATCCATCCGTCTGTTGTTTTGGCTTCAACCTTTACCAGGAGAGGAAGCTCTCCGAGACCGTGTGGAATTGTTTTTCCTGATTTTGATGAGTTGGCCACCATGGCGATCCATTCACTTTCGAAACTTGGTGTGGATTCCATATACTCTGCCTCTAATAAGAATTTTTTTTCAAGTCGTTGCATACGGATGCAATTTTTAAAATAATAGATATGTACATGTATTTGCATGATTCAAAATAGGGTTAAATGTTTTCTAACTTTATCCAGTTATCTTGTAACAAAAACATCCTTTTCATATCTAAAGTTGTCGACAATATTGAAAATAGTCTAAAATCGAAAACAATTATAAACAATTCTAGAAACATCACAACTAACCTTAAAATTCACGTTTATGTTTAACAAAAATACCTTTGTTTCTATTTTATTATTATTTCTTTTTTGATAGATATAAGAATTTCAGCATTTGTTATGGTTTATGAAAATAGTTACTTGCTTGCAATGTAAATATTTTGATAAAAACAATTTCATGTTTTCAGGTATTGTTGTTTAAAATTAAAAATATAATAAAAAACATAAGCAATTTCCAGTCTTTCCAATAATATCCAAAATTACTTCCTGGGGTAAATCGTGAATATCTTTAGGGGAACTACAATAAGATTTATTTTCGAAAGATAAACACACTGAATGCATTTTAATGTGAATTGAAGTTTTTGTAATCACTTCTTGGAAATGAAATCGTAATTATGTTGGTAATCAAAGACTACTAAATACACCTAGAGATTGCATGTATCTGGTTATTCAATTACATGGCGGCATTAAAAAGGTATATACATACTAGTAGTGTGGTGACATTTTTTTTTAAATTGTAAAAAAAAATATTACACAAGAATATTAAGCTATTATACCTAACAAACATTTACTACAGTAAACTATAGTTTACTATAGTAAACTAAAGTTAACTATAATAAATACTTTGATACTTTGATTTACTACTAAACGTTACTTTAAAAGAAGATGGGAGAACAAGGCGAGCACAATGCCTATAGTGCAACAAACATGAAGGTGAAAAATTAGATATCAATTATAACAAAATTGTCTTTGATATTTCATCTAAAATTAAAGTATACTTTATGTAAAATCTCCACAATTTGCAATAATCTGACTAAGACTTAAATTATTTGCCTGTGAAATTGCATACACACACTAGAGAGATCAAAATGGATCATTTTCTCATACTAAAACACGACTTTTCGATATGAGTGGGTCTTCCCTCTATATTTTTCAAAGTTTATCCTCAAAATTCGCCAAAAATTATACATTTTTTGGTCAACAAAAACATGGAGCAAAGACCCACTATACCTTAAAAATACTTTAAAAAAACTTTTATGACACAACATTCGCATTTTTCCGAGAAATACTTGAAGTCCATTTTGTAAAGGGTCATATCACAAACATGATTTAAATGCCACAATTCTTCAAGAGCTGTGTAGCGTAGTCGTTAGCGTGTTAGTCTTAAAGGAAAAGATACTCAGGATTTTTATTGCTAGGGTTCGAATCCCACGAATAACACATTTTTTTAAATAACAGAATAATTTTTGCCGATAGAATTTTCCTCAGAAATTTTTTTTAATCATAATTTCTTTAATTTCGATAATGAGAACTTTACTCTAAATACTAAATTCACAAAATGATTATGATTTTTGATATATCTGAAGCTATAGGCATTCTGCGCGCCTTGTTCACCCATATCCTTTGATGTAATTTAATATTAAAATTTTTTGTGATTTCCAAACTTAAAATCATAACTTAAATTCAATATCAATGATATTAAATATGGAAATGATGCAATAATATACAAATAATATTTCCATTTAATATAAAAAATGTGCATATCTGAATTGGAGAACTTAAGATATAGCAATCTGAAATCCATAGCAAAAATACTTTGATTTACTATAGTAAGAAATTTGATTTACTATAGTAAAAACTTTGATACTGTAAACTATAATTAACTATAGTACTTTTCTGTTATGATTACCCGCACCAATAACTCATTATTATGCTGAACTGAGAATAAACAAAATAGAGAGGGGTCTTCTTATCTTTCTTTCTCTGCATTATTTGAAAATATTTTTATGAGTCTTAATTACATTTCAAAACGAATTACATGTAGTATTTACCTGAGAGAACAGAAATCCATAAAAGATACATTGTTTGTAATCTACTCCAAGTTTCCTCGTGTCCTCTCATTATATTCCTACGATGACAACTGAAACTTTAATATATCATCCTGCTGAGGCTAAAGAAGTTATTTTTAAAACATTATTGAATTTATTGGTTGGTTCTGATACTCTGACAATTTAAATTATGCATAGAAGGAGCCAAGATCAAGATAATGTCTCTGCTAAAAAGGAATAATCCTGCAACCGCATTAAAAGATGCATGAACGTGCTCATAAATGCGTGATATTCTTTTGAAATGTTTTTCTGCCAAAAAGCACAGCAGGAAATATACTGCATGCAATATATATATATATATATATATATATATATATATATATATATATATATATATATATATATATATATATATATATATATATATATATATATATAGAGAGAGAGAGAGAGAGAGAGAGAGAGAGAGAGAGAGATTAGATATAGATAGATAGATAGATAGATATTGAAATATCAAAATAAAAATCAATTTTCATAGAGCAAATTTACCAAATAGTATGCGATTGGATTGCTTTTTTACCCGAAAAGTGTTCATTATCAAAATATGCATTTATATCGTGTTAAATCTTGAACGATTCAATAGTGAGGAGGCAAGAAATGTGCTTTGAATGAACATTTTCTTAGGATTTGCCAATAACTAGCAGTCATTTTGTAGGTAATACAACTGGCTTCTGTTAAAAATTGACTCGATCAACTACCGTATAAGCAGGAATTTTAGCAAGGATTAAATTTTGGCATTTTTAGCCAGGATGTCGAGATTGCTAAAATTAAATATCGCTAACAATTTATACCGCATTAGAGGTTACCGTTATCTTTTCATGCGCATATAATCGCTAAAGTTACTTCTGATACTAATAGGATAAATCCGTAAATTTGCGTCTCGCTAAAACTTCTACTTATACAGTATTTATTTATACAAATGCAACAACAGGTTTGCGTGTATGGGACTATTTGTTGATGTAATTAAACGAGAAATGTAATTATTAACATTTGTGTAATAAAGGATCGTAGTGTATATATATATATATATATATATATATATATATATATATATATATATATATATATATATATATATATATGTATGTATGTATGTATGTATGTATGTATATATATATATAAGACTCCAAAGTCCGATGGTAACGCCGAAGTACGATGGTCTCGCCAAACCCCGATGGTTTGATGTCAGTACAGACGCCAAAGTCCGATGGCTCTTTTCCTATGAGACGCACTGCGCTAAAGTGCGATGGTCTGAAACGCCAAAGTCCGATGGTGCAGAGAAACAATCACCGTTTATGGCGTCACAATATTCCGACGTCAATCCTTGACGCCGTTGTCCTGCATTCAAAAGCCATTACTCGCATACAATTTTATTGATATTGCTTATTGCTCGCTCCTTTCAGATATATTAAGATTCGTCCTCGCACACCACTCCACTGATTAGGATTAGTCCTTGCTTCGCACCAACCCGAGAGATTTAGGTTTAGTCCTCGCTCAATAGTCGAGTGATTAGGGTTAGTCTCGCACCCACTAAAGATATCTAGGCTATAGTTGTTACACACTTTTCGAGCGGTTAGGGTTAGTTTCACACCTATCCGAGAATTTAAGGTTAGTTTTGGCATAATGATATTTATTAAAAGACCTTGGCATGGCGCGGTATTGCAGTTTGGCGCAGTAGTACTATGACGTCATAAACGTTAATTTTTTCCATCGGACTTTGGCGTGTCAAACCATCGGGGTTTGGCGCAGACCATCGGACTCTGGCGTGACCATCGGACTTTGGAGTCCCATCGCACTTTACATATATATATATATATATATATATATATATATATATATATATATATATATATATATATATATATATGTAATATGTACTGTGGGTTCTCCAGTCATGGAGAAAGAGATATATAATTTTCCTTGCGTTACCTACGCCTACAATTGTTGGTCAAAATAAACTAAACGAGAATTACGTAGAATTAATTTTACTAAGTAAATACAAAACAATGATTCTCTAATGATTCTTTAATCAATGTTCCTAGGCTATTCAAGGTCTGAAACCCGTTGTTAGAGCTTCCAAAGCTCCCAGACCTTATGTTTCAGAGCAGTGTTTTCAAACACTCTCTAATAAACCTTAAAAGTAGGTTTGGAACCTAATGTACCCAAATGATATGTCTGCAGTATTTTGAGACCCGCAAATGAGGCACAATAAATTCCTTACCTTTAAAACGATCTGCACTGTTCACTGGCCAACAGACTAACTAACTTGAGCATCAGTGCTCGCCTGTATTTATAGTCTTACCCAAAGACGCTGAGTCATCGTCTTTGTCTTGATGTAACATAGCTAACACACTAGGAAGCACCTGATTGATAAATAATTTGCATATTATTAACTTGATCAAGTTAATTTCTTCTTCATTACCCATGCCCCCGAAACATATGCGTCCTGCATATTAATTAAATAACAATTTTTTTTATCAACTTTTTTTTATTTTAATATACATGCATCAAATATTAACTTATTATGAGTTGAAAGGTAATGCAATATCTCTTGACATTCCCGCAAACAAAAAACAAATCTAATGTGTCTTTTCAGCAAACAATTTTTACAATTGTCCTACAGGTACGTGTGACTCAACAGAAATATCATTAACCACTGTTTTTCACTCTAAATAGAAAAACTCTTCTTTTCCAAGGTTTCCTCAATGTTTTTATGGTCCTGAGTGTAAGTTGAGACTACCTTGCGAACTTTTCTTTTCTTTATGATTCTGTCTTCATGACCAATATGAAAACTAGTTTGAGTAGCTCTTGTACTTGTAGCTCCAAATGAAATCTCCTAAATGGTATTGGTTTCTCAGGAAGAGAAATTGGAGTCTTTCTCTTAGGTGCAAACACAGGTGCTGG